CTTCTTACATTCATGCTTTGTTATACGTTTTTCAAGTTAATATTTTATAAATTATTTAAAACATATTCTAAATTGCTGACGTTGAATGTGTTTATTGTGAAATCGAACAGATGATTTCGCTTTGTATTACAAGATGTTGGAATGAAGAGTAATACGCGTAAAACGAAGTAGTTTTGATGAATGAAACAATATTATATATAATTATGATACTTTTGAATTTATTTTCATTTTCTTGCCAGGAGTAACTTGCAAAATGTTGTAACCCATACGAATTAGCGGTAATTGTTGAATGTTGCAACACATCGTTGTAACGCCTCACTGATAATAGACGGCAATAATGACGGTCACAGTTAGTTCGCGTTAATATAAACTAATAAGTTTATTTACGTCTAAAATACGGATCAGCATTGTTGGTACATTTATGTAGAACGTTGATACTCTAAATTCAATGGCAGAAAGCTGTTTTCATTTAAACGTTAGAATTAAAAAGATATGTGTATTTTTCACGCTTTATTAGCATAATAATTTTGCAGATTATAATTGATGTGCATGAGATAAATTGTAATATTATAGTAGTACTATTAGCAATATGGCGAGAAAGTACTTACTGTTGAAGCACCACTAGTGTTCCTTAACGAACCAGTTCAGTTAAGAAAAGAGTCGAGTCAAGAAAACAGTTTAATTTCCATCATTATCTTCAAGAAGGTGATCGCGATATTGAAGAAGGTGATCCTATCGATTATATTTTCTAATCGACTTGTTCGTTAACCGATCAGAAAGTTTATAGAAACGTTTATGGGAACTCAGTTTATTTGTTCCTGAGTCGGAGAGCAGTATTTAAAAAAAAATCATTCAGAATTACTGAGTAGCAAAAAAAAAATAATGATTACGAATTATTTCTTTGCAGTGTGTTATGTCCGCGGAGTGTTTTCAGCTTTGTTTTAGTGTGCATCGCGTAGAAAACTAGTGGACCAAAACAGCAGTACTTGTCCCCGTATTTACACGCAAAATTAAGCGAAAATTACTAAAATTTTCGAAAACTTTTACATGATCTTATTTCAAAATCTGTCTTTAAGGAACAGATTTCATTAAGGATATCTCTATCTTCATAATTGTAGTTTTAGGAAGTCGGCGAAAACATTTTGAACTTTTTCAATTTTCGAAAAATCAGGGTTTTTAACGAATGCTGCACCATTCTCTTAAACGTCATCTACACTATCCAACAATAAAATTTAATCAAAATCGATGGAGCCATTTTTTTTGTGAATTTTAAAAAAGTCCCAGGGGCTCTATATAAAGACAATAGCCAGATCAATTGGGGAATATCAATTTTCTAAAAAATCAGCAAAACAGTTTAGCCGCTAGCGTTGTTAACTGACAAACGGTCGGTCGGACGGACTGTCGGACGGTCGGTCGAACGGACGGTCGGTCGGACGGACTGTCGGACGGTCGGTCGGACGGACTGTCGGACGGACGGTCGGACGGTCGGACAGTCGGTCGGACGGACTGTCGGACGGACTGTCGGACGGTCGGTCGCATGGACGGGCGGTCGGACGGTCGGACGGACGGACGGTCGGAGGGACGGTCGGACGGACGGTCGGGCGGACGGTCGGGCGGACGGTCGGACGGACGGTCGGACGGACGGTCGGACGGACGGACGGACGGTCGGAGACAGGCGTTTTGCCATCATTCTCTTTGTCAACCACCCACAACACATAGATTCTGGATACAAGAAGATATTTTTGTGCCAAAAATTCGCCTTCTTTTCACGCAGCATTACATAACTTTCTCGGTACTCTTTAGAGAGAAAAAAATTGAGTGAATTCAAATTGTTATTTCTTTGCAGTGTGGTATATCCTCGAACATATTTCGATTGGCAACAAATTCATTTGTTAGTCGTATTTAGATACATTTTTCGTTATAGCAAATGTTCGTTATCTGTGCTAGCAAATTTTCATTCAAATCGGACGTCATTTGGAAAAGTTCAACATAAGTATTGTCATTTTTGCTTTCAACAGAGCCCCCTGGTTTATTTCAAATATACAAAAATCCATTTATAAAAATACAAAATAAACAAATGCCCAATGAATGAAATGTAAAAGTTAATCAGGAGAAGCATTAAATAAAAAATATAGTTTATTACTTTACTTTTCCTTACTTACTTTAGTTTAAACTATAAATATTATAATATCTCCATAATTAATGACTAATTTCGACCAGAAAAATTAAATTTCTATCCTAATTAGGTTGTTAAAAAACCTGCTTTGAACATGGGGTCTGTAAAGACATCATTCCCTCTTTTTAAATAGTATAATGTTTTGGAGATCTGTCAAAGGTTATATTTGATTGTTGGCAATAATTGTTAATTAATTCAAAAGTATTGAATTAAAATTTTAAAATTTCAACCCTATGCGGTGCGGTGTAGAGTTCTCGCGCCGGGCGTAGAGTCGCGTTCACACCCACCGTGCCTAGCACGGCGTGATGGGCTGTTCGGCGGTCACCATGGCGACGCACGTGTTGACTTGCAGAGGGTGACAAGCGTTGGGCTGGGCGTACTGAGGTGGGTCGTATCTGGAAGCGTCATGTCTACTGGAGACGAAGAGTCGGAGGAGCCAGAGAACACGTCTCCAAAGACAGTGTACGTATTCGCTGTCCTTTTTTGATTGACGTCATGTACAATTGGAAGAGCTAAATAATATGCATTGGTAGCCGTGTAGACATAAAAATGCTTTCCAAGTGTAGCACATTTAAATATTATTTATTTAGTAAATGCATTTAACACACCACTCACTCTGTACTAAAAGCTAGTTTAAAAAAATAGAGATCGTCTTGTTGAGGTGATTACAATACTTTTCCTAATGTACAGTGTATTTGTCACTGTTTACGCTACACTTAACCTATCAAACCACATGCAAACAGGTTGGTTCTCATACAGTTCAAGTTTAGGTTTGTTTCCCTGCAGTTATACTCAGAGCAATGAATTTGAGGAACGAATTCGATTATGTCGATTGAGTCATTTTATTCAAGAGAAATGTCATTAATTTCGACCGGAAAATTTTATAATGGTAGGGATCACTTGGTAAAACCCAAATGTGAAATCAGAAGTAGTAAAATTATAAGTTTAAACTAATTGTTTTCTTCTTCCTTTGTTTTTAGACTACAAAATTTCAAAAACTAACAATATATAATTAATGAGTTTTATTATTTAAAAAAATAGAAATATATCTGTATCTGGAGGTAATGACAAACGTCGCCGAAACGTTGTTCTTAATCAAAATGTAAAGTGAAATATATGTGTAAAATGTCTATTATGTTGGGAAACTATTATAATAATATAACTGTCTATAAAAATAGGGATCTGTAGTTATTAAAATTATACGGATATCACGTATGTCTTTGCCACTTTACTACTTGCAAGCCTTACCTTGATATCATAAAGATACCGTAATAATAATATCACATTGACATTATAAAGAAGAAAGAAGCCATTACTCGATCACGTATGTGGTACATGAGCAAATGGTGACGTTTCTCAACGCAAGGAGCATTCGGGGCTTCATTTACGACGGCAGTACGATAAGTTTGTCGATGGAAGGGAGGTGGGCCCGCTTGAGGAAGCAAATTGAACACATAGTCCGTAGTATCACCCTAGCTGTAGCGTACGTTGGTTGGTGTGGGCAGTAGCTGAACCTGTTAACTTCAAAATGTGGCAACAATGTACGTCATTTTTGGGTCACCATACTACTTCTACCTGCACACACAAGCTTTTTCACGTAACTCACTCGCTAAGGCTGAGACCGCAATTACAGCCTTCCTTTTTTTTAGAGTGAGCCTTCTAATAGTTAAGATATTGGTTATTATTATATATTAGTTACATTAGTGAAGATATTAGTTAAGGTAATGTATTTTTGTAAAACTATATTTTAATTATTTTATTTTAACAGATGGGTGAAATTTCACAAAGTAAGAAATATATATTATGTAAACCTGAAGAAAACGAAGCAGCTTGTTGCTATTACTAGAGGCTGTCATATATTATTCATTGACCCTGTGACCGAAGAAGAAACAATATTTCGGGCTGTTAATGCTGAAAAAGGAGAAGGGGTTCAATGCATGGATATTGCTCGCAAATCTAAAATATTCGCATTTGCTGAGAAATGTATGAATCCCCGGATAATGGTATATAGTATTCCTGATTTGACCTGCTTGAATACTCTGTGTGGTAAGAGATATTACTTTCATTCATTAAATTGCAAGGCGAAACAGTAAAAATGCACATGTAACTTATTCACTGAATGTAACTTCTTTGCCATGCCAATCCGGGTAGCCAAGATCGCTAGGCAGTAGTGTCGTGGTGATCTCGGATCGAAGGATCGCGAGTTCGAATCCCGTCTCGGGCATGGATGGGATGTATTTGTGATTGTTGTTTCTCCCCTCATCATCATCATCATCATCATCCTATTATTTCATTAAAGAAGTGTCAATAATTCCCTGCTCAAGCAGGAGGCCCTTGCCTTTAATCTTTTTTTATTTATCTTAAAAAACAGTACAAAATGTATATAATGTATGATGGGCGAAAAACAATCCATGTATGATTTTCGAATTACAGAATGTATTTTCTAGGCAGTTTAATTGTGAAGATAGATACCAACGAGCATCTTTGGCAAAATTGAAAACAAAAAATGTTTGTTCCTCTGTAATAGAAACAGCTTGGATCTGAAAACGAGATATAGATTTGATAGCTTTAATAATTAATTTTAATAAGAAAAACTTATGCATTTAATACGGCAATAAATTGTTTTTCCATTACCAAAACGTTTCGATACAAAACAATTGTTTGACGAACTCTTTCCTGAAAATTGTTTACAATACATAGTCATATTTAAATGTTCAAATTTTTGGTGTATTTTTCTGCTTCTGCAAATTAACATTACGTTTACTTAAAAACCAATTGTCTAATGATAATGGATAGTCTATACTCGACTCTCTTTTTTCTAGTGTTGTCTCTTTCTTTAACAGGAGGATCTTTAAATGGGTACTTGAGTATTGCATTTTCTGAGAAAGAGTTATTGGTATCGTTAGGAACATATCCTGACTTTCTAATTACAATATGGAACTGGAGAAATGGAGAGAAATTGGTAACACAAGAATCAGTACTTCGCGAAGAAAATCAAATGTTGAAGTAAGATTTCCTTTAATAGTTTTTATTTCAACATAAATTGTAAATCATTTCCCAATAAAAGTCCGCATCTCATTCCATTTAGATTTTAATTTGACACACTTCACTGCATATCATTTTACCTTATGGTGGCAAGACTTACGTGGGGCAAGAGTTCGCACTTTGAACAACTCCGCATGAGTACACAAAAGTGAGTTTCCACTCGCGTAATTGGTAAATTGATTCGGCTTTTACACAGAGCTATGCTTAATTTATGAAGAATAAACTGTCCCAGGTACGGGGTAAAAGTCCCAAACAAAAAGGGCAAAAGTACTAATATACAAAACATATAAACTTCAGTAGAAATTAATTAACAATGTTTACAAGGCTCAAACGCTTTAAATGAATGTAACATCAGCTTTACAGCTTTATTATTAAATAATTAAATGTGATGCATAAATGGTCATAATGAAGTCTTCAGTTGCAAAATATTCACCAATAAAAAAATAAATCTAATAATAAATTCGAAGAATATACTGTTCATTCTCACACAGGAATTGACCTCCCCACTAGGAAATGCATTTTTCATGCCACCACTCATTACACGAATTACATTGGATCGAGACTTCAGCTGGAAGGTCCTCGAATTCCATTTTGCAAGCAAGGCCTATCGAAGTATTTACAGTGACAACTGGTTTATTATTCTTTCCTTTTCCTCTCTTATTTGTGAAGTTGCAAATAAGCGATTTCTTATGGGTATTTCCGGGTTGCTTATTCTCCAGTGCAGTCTTGTGAAGTGAGGATGTCAGAATGGGAACTTCTATCCTCGCCGCGTTCATTTTTTAATGAATCCTGCCTTTCGGATGGACATAATGTCCGATGACAATTCTCTGACGTTTCACAATTTGGGGAATCGCGTTTCTTAGGGGGTGTTGTGACCTTTCTCAATAAAGCTAACGATGGCGCCTGTGAGTGATTCATGGTTTGATCACATGGCTACCTACTCCAGGATCTTTATTTAATTCCACACCTGATCAGTGAGTATAGCAAAAAAAATGGGTCTCTGATCTGTGGCCTGTGAAGGAAGAAAGACTTTCTCACCAAATTTGAATTTATAAATGAGTGCAATACTACAGACTTCAAATGCTTTCGCAGCCTTTTCAATCCTACAATTCTTCATGTACGATTTACCAAACAGTTCCGCTACGTAGAATTGGGTAACAACCCTTTCTGAATCAATTTCAACATGCGTTGTAAATTGGTGGAGCAGAAGTCCGCACGAGGACTCCCTCCGACATTACCATGGACATTATTGTGGACAGCCGACATTATTGTGGATCCTTGCCCCAATCGTAAAAATAATATCTCTTAATTTATGCTGCCTTCTCTCAGGCATTTCCGAAACTATTTACTAGTGATTTGGGTAGGTCACTTTTCACATATCCATACTCTTAATTCTAGATTTTAATTACTGTTCTATCAACAGCGTAAACATATTTCCAATATCTTGCAAAATTACATCAAATAAGTTCAAATTTTATCTCTCTACTTTGTGTCAGCAGTATTTGCACAAGAACTACCAAACTCCCCTCGCAGACGTCAGCCATGACACCTTCTAATTTATTTTGCAGAAGTGTCTACTTCACACTTCGGAAACAGTTATTACTCTAGTCGGACTCTTACTCCATGCGGACTTTTGCCTCATGCTACTCTACACTTAAGATCTCTCCCTCTCACGAATAACTGTACACGTTACCTGGTAATGTAGCACACGTCAATACAAGAGATTCTACTATACAATGGTCTTTGCCACAAACCTGAATTTTCCAATGTGTTCTTTGTTGTTTTCTACACTTCATTTTAAACGCAGGAAGGTCCACTTTCGACTGTGCACTTTCACTCACCACTCCCTTCTCAACGGTCTGTTGTAGATATAAGTAGTTCAGAAAAATGTTCATATTTTAATTGTAAATACATATTATTAATATTACATACTAGAACAGAATATGGTTATTGTCTCGCAGGTGCAACTTTGGTTCTGTATTCTCTGTGAGTCAGATGCCGAAACATTCCGAAACTCTGAGCGTGTGGAATGTCCATCTCTGCTACTCGGTTTGCCGGTTGGTGAGAGATGACGTCACACTGCCTTTATCAACTGGTAGTCGCATGTGCGACATGCTGTGGTCTCCGGATGGAATATTATACATTCTGGAAATTTTCGGAGACATTTTTGCAGTAAGAAAAGTGATACACTATTTGGAAGATAGTTCATTGCCTGCATGTGATTAGTCGTCGGTATTAAAGCTGGTTGAATTGTTAATGTACCATTAGAGAGTAGAACAATTGAAACATACTTGACAAATTCTTCCAGGTAGTCTGACATTGCTTTCCTCACCTTCACCCAGCCAGAAAGAGCTGAAGTGACCCCACGCGTGACACCATTCACAGCACGTATGCCATTGTTCATCATCACACTTCCACCAACCAACTTCTCTATTGCACCAGCCCCAGAGATATGCATATTTGCGGAAGCTACACAGTTCTCTGGCCACACCGGGGATCAAACCCTGGTCGTTGGGTATGGAAAACCACCGCTCGTCATCTTAAAACAATACAAAATAAATTTGTCAGGAGAATAACCAATCCTCCCTAGTTTATACACAAGTCTCAAATTAACAGAGATGTCGGCATCCTTGTTAGTATTCGAGTATACTCAGTCATCCATGAACTCAGTCATCTGCCTACTTTCGCAAGCCTCAAATGCATCATCTGTTCCACTAGGCAGACCTCTACAATTTTTTATACGTCGGAGATATGAATGAAAATTGTAACTGGGCCACGCTTATAAATTTCTTCTATTTGGGAAAAAAATCAAGAAAAACATTTCAGACAGAAAATGTTGAAAATGTCTTAGAGGTTTCACGAAAGTACCTCCACAATAAAAATATCTTACTGATCTCCAAAACGTCAGAACCAGATCTTACTCCTGATGTATTTACCAAGATACTGCTCAAAACCATTTAATCTAACAGAGTTATGTGAGACACATCCATCTACCCATATATTATACAAATCGATTTTAGGACACAAAATTACATATATATTTTTCCACCCGTGACAGTCTTAACCATCGTATTCACAGCGCTAATAGACATTAATTCTGACTTGTGCGCGCAGTAACAGCTGAGAATAATCTTAAACATGAATTTTACGACCGATATCGAAGCATATTGTTGAAGTGATTCCATCACTTTTCCGACCTATACTACACTATAGTGCCATAGTACCGTAGTAGAAATTAAAAAATAAATATCTAGTACGTAACAGGGGCGGATTTAGAGACGATTTTTTGGGGGGGATTTTTGTGGGATATAAATATGAATTATGAATGTAAGTATATTTATATTTATTGGAAGATTTATTGAAGACACTGTCTAAACTCAGATTATGTTGCGATACGATTTTACCCTTGCTTATTTATTTTATTTGCTGGAAAGTTTCGTGATAAGTTAATATTTATAGTTACTGAATTTTTTGAGGGATAAGGATTTCCCTCATTTTCTTGTCCGTGTATTTGCACCTGGTACATAAGTACCATTCGATAAATAGCAGCCGTGTGTATTCGGTACCATTTTCCAGAGATCATTATAAAAATCTACATAAAACTCGCGTATGTGCCTATGTACAGTACTGTTCGAAATAAGGCGAAGGTAATACTCGTATTTTTATATCGTAAAAACAAGTTCAACGTTGATAAGGGAGTTATGCAAAATGTTAGAAAGTTAATAAGCCAGTTATGCTTCAGTTTTCCCTTTTTGGTAGACAATTGACGAAGCCGGGTGTGATCAGACACTTTGGCTCCACTAGGCTTGTCAAATGTTCCTTATTCTACAGAGCAAATGCTGATTCACATTGTGTTGCTGTACATGTAACTTTTAATCCCTCTCTGAACATCAGATCACAATTCTTACTTATTGCTAAATAGAAACGTTATCCAAATATTTGAATTTTTGTTTACATTTGTATAAATATGATCACTTATATTAGTAGATTATGCGCTTAAATCCAATTAAATAGGCTCCAAGATTCATTTTGGCCAAGATAAAAGTTTATCATTGAATAACATGTCTTTCCATAGCTTACATATCCAATACTGCTGCTTTGAAAACAATAAAAAGTAATTTGGGAACACTTTGTTTTTTCTTACTTTCTACAGATAGAAGGAGAGCAAAGAAATGTTTCATTAGCCATTAAATGGGATGGCATAAGGGGCCACACAACCCCGTGTATGGCTTGGCATAAAAATGGCATTGTCTTAGCCGGCCCAGACGGAACAATAAAGGTATTTGAATTTAATTGATACTAATATGATATATAGATTTGGTTTCTTTAGCCTTCTCGGCTATTTGTTACAAAAATACATATTTACATACAATGTTTACATCTGTAGATATACTACATTAAATATTTACTGAATTAATTTTCTACTTTTATGTATTTTATAACTTAACGGAATATAATTCAAAACCTTTTTTAAAAATATTTTAGATTTTTAGAATAGATTTTTTTGCCTGCACAATTTTACTAAAATTAATTACTAAATGTTGGGCTTGTCTGGTTTCACTTGTTTTATCTTTCACTCTTTGGTTTTGGTTTACTAAATCTTCTATTATATGATTTTAAATAAATTTAAAACTAAAAATTATAATTTTATAATGAATTTCTCTTTGATAAACATAAATTTCGAAGTGTGAAGGATGTCGGAAGGAATATATTCGTGATTTAGTCATTATTGTAAATTATAAAAAAAATATTTGACCCCAAGCTGACCCTTGCGGAACACCTAATTCTACGCTAATTTCATCTGAGATAATAATAGTATATTTTACTTTTTGCTTTCTCTCGTTAATATATGAAATAAACCATTTTAACGTCACTGTTAACTCCTTATTTATATATTTTCTCAATAAGCTATTTCGAATGCCCTCTTAAGATCCGAGAAGAAAACTCCTGGTTTGTTTCTCGCATCAATATTAATCTTCCATCCACCTAAAACTGCTTGTATCACAGTTTCACATGATTGTGTTTTTGTTAAGCCTGATTGTTGGTTTCCTGTAATTTTATTTGTTTCAATATACTCGTTTTAACTGCTTCTTCTAATATTTGTTCATGTATGGGTAACATATTTATTAGCCTAAATTAGTTTTTGTCACTTTTGGAATTGGTTTTACTGTGGAAGTTTTCCATGCCTCCGCAAAAATCTCCTTTTCAAGGGAATTATTGATTATTTTCAATAAGACTTCTAATGTTTCATAATTTTCTTTTAACATTTTTGTCGTAATACCTTCGACTGTCGTTCGCGTTGCTTGTAAATATTTTGATTTTCTTTGTATGCATTTTGTATTATTCTTTTAATGCTACTTAAAAAATAGCCATTGAATTTGTCAGCTACATTTTCTTTGGTATTTCATCAAATATAATATTTTTATTCATTATATCACTTTTTTACCTCTTGTTAATTTCTTAATTTCACTAAGGAACACTATTTATACCTCCGGGAAGGTAGAGAGCACAACATACTCAATTTTATACGTAGATTACGAATATCACAATAAAAACGTCATATCACGTCACAGTTTTTAAATACACCGTATTTTTATACCGTACCATACCGTATATTACTATTAATGCAAATACATTTAAAATGTGCCTGTAAGATATATAGAATGAATATGCATAAAATCAATTTCAAAATAAAATATTTGTTCAATTCAGCTATGCTACTTTCATAAGATATCAACAAAATTAGGCTTTCGTGTTGTTGTTTTTTACCTTCTACCTTCGAAGATTGCCATCTTAACTTGAACTAATGCTCTGGCGAATTACAACTTTACTTTTACACCTCCTCGTCGATCCAAGTCTGCTTCTCTCTGCGGTCTCCGAGCGTCTTCCTCTCTCCGCGGAGTCTACGTCTGCTTCTCTCTGAAGTCGAGAAATGTCTTTCTGTTTGTCTCTCTTCGCGGTTGGGAATTGTCTGCCTGTTCTCGGGGGACTGCCATGCCTTGAAAACCTCGGCTCGCGCGCAAAATCTCCTACCCAAATTATCCGCCCACTTTTTCTAGCAATCGCGTTTGAGAAAATTTCGCTCGCAGCTACACTTCGACTGCTCATTTGTTGTTCCCATCCGTTGGATTACTTCTAAACGTCTCTACGATTTTTCAATTTTGATTGGTCGCAAAGAATTTCGTTATTCGGGAGCTTGGACAATTTTCTCTCCGAAGAAGGCCAGCTTCGGACATGCCGGGCGAACGTGCAGGGATACGGCTATTACCCGTATGGGTAATGGGCGTGACGGACATCCGACTCCCGCTGATATCTCTGTGGCAAGTGGGTGGTTGGTGGGATGGGATCGCTAAGCGAAGCGCCAAATCTACTGCTAATGTGGAGTGAAAAAGGTTGAAAATCTTTTCCGGACATCCTGTCTCTGCGGGGTGACGCGTGGGCAGAGTGGGGTAGGCAGCGTCATTGTGCGAACCAAGTGGAGACAGGTAATTTTTTTAGTGCCCCTCGAAAAAAGGTCCCGACACAAAAGCGATCTGAAGACAAGGGTTTTGGGCAGGTTGAGCGATGCCAAGTCGCATTAACTGGCGTGGATCGTTTCAATAATTCAAAATGTATTAATAATGTAAAAAAATTCTTTACTTGTCCAGTACTCATGACCCAGAGCATCTATTATGTAGATGATTAGTATTTCATTAAAAATTTGAAATTCAATTAAAATTGTTTTTTATATTTTAATTTATAGTATCTTTATTTCCAAACATATTAAATGATTATTAAACTTTCAGGCCCTTCCTACTTCAAATAATTCACATTCCCCCTTTCCCCCTTCACATTTATTTTAACTTACAAGTTTTCTGACTTTAAATTTCATCATGTAAAATGTATTTAGAAAATGCAAAACTTTTTAGAAATCAAAGGCCAATATTTGACTGAATGGAGGCTTTTACACCAGTTACTTTAGAATATTCTAATTGTTAAAAAACCTTTAGATGTTCATTAAATTCAAAATTTTGTAATGGAATATTAATTATGGCAATGTCATTAAAATGTTTAAACGCTTTGTTCACAGCTTTATACTGTTGTTGCACGTCGCAGAGCAAGCATTTCAAAAGGTCCTGCACCAACTGGCCCTGCCTGGAAATTAGTATGGACAGCTCACCCAAAATATCCTTTTGCGGCATTGTGTGGAGCAGAACATCATGGTATCCACGAACTTTATGGATTTACTGTCAGGGTAAAGTACAAAGAGCATGGAGAGAGGTATAGGACGAGAGACAAATATATCTCATGATGATCTAAGGAATTCGTGAGAAAGTGACTATCGTGCCTCCTTTGCTTGATGCACATATAATACCCTACTAGAAAGTAAGAACACTTTCATAGTCATTTCACAAATTATCCCAATTTTATTCACCGTATTTAACAGGTATACTATAAGACTGGTTCAAAGAAGTCAGCAAATACTTTTCCCAGAGGTGACTCAATCAAATTGAAAGCGTTTGGACGAAGCTGAGGTGTGAAGGGAAGTCAAATGGAGAGCGAGGTCGTAAGCAGGTTATACATACTGACTAAATACAGTCCTAACAGGCACTCCCACTGTTGACATTTGTTTTTGAGGACCCCGTTCGATTTGCTAAGACCTCTCGTACAATGTTCTACCGTATGAACACCATCTCGTGCCTATTAATATATGGGCATGCTTTCTTTAGTTCCAGAATCACTACTGCTTCTTCTTTACCATGCGTAGTAGAATTGTAAATTGAGGGTAGCAATGAGTGTTATTGCTATCCAATTTACTAACAAGACATTTTTGATGTTGAATTATAGAAATTATTTGTTTAAGAAAATGAGCAACAGATTTGATTTTAAAGTTTTTTTCGTCAAAATGATGACCACCAACCCAACTCCTTGCCAGTGTAGCGAAGTGATAGCTCATGAAAACGTGCACCGATTGTACAATAGTCTTGACGTAGTACTCCGTATTTCATTGATTTCCAGAACCAAATTTCAGGGTATTGTAACTGTCTCTAACATACATCGGTGTCATCATCAGTGCCCTGATGATTTTTCTCATCCAACACAATCCGCAATTCTCCGGTATGGCCATTCATCTTCACTGAGTCCCATTTTGCGTCCCCGTTCGGACTAATTTAACGGTACGAAAAAGTCTGTTTTCGTAGGCCTTGGTTTCCGTTTGATTTGGTTGGTGACTTTTTCTCCGAAATATTATCCCAGTTTTTGTACATTCGCTTTCGTACGCCTTCAAATGGTTCGCACCAAACCCACCACCTTGGCCGGGTTGCTCACCATCTCGTTCCCCGGCTTCGAGCATCGACATCAAGCCAGGGGAACCACGGTCCCCATGTTGTCCGCCACTTTAAATTGTGCCCCTCGCAGGACGATTTTATATTACAAATATTAAAACTGCTATTTTTCACTGTGTCTGTACAAAAATATCAAGAAAATGAATCATTTAATACAGGCTTATGTTGTTTGAGTGTTATGTATAAATAGTAATATTAAAAATTTCCAGCTATTAAAAAACTACCAAATCAATCAGTCTAAGAATTTCTCGAAATGTGCTAAAAATATTTTACAATACTTATAAATGTGATTGATATCCATTTTTCAAAATAAGCAAAATATGATACTTTGTTATATTTTCTTGCCTAGTTGATGTTGACGAACTAAGTTTCTGAAAATCTGCAAATTAAGTTAATTGAGTTTTAGAGCATCAATAAAATGATTCATAGAGGCATCGGCAACAAAAATTATTTTCTTTAATAGCTATTACACCTTAGAAATATGTCAACTTAAGATTTTAACAGAGTTGGAAGACTTTGCTTTTTTGTCTACAAATCACTTTACGCATCATCGTTACAATACTTTCTTTACCACTTAAGTATATAGTATGCTAGAAAGTAAAAAGGCGATAAATAATAGAACTCGTGATAAATTTTTAAAAAATATTTTGGGGTGTCTGGAACGATTTAATATTATTTAATTTTTTATAATGCGAAATATTGCTTGTTTTCGTTTATTTAGTGTTCCTCAGGCTTTTAGACACATATTATTCATAGTAAGTGAGATTCCACAATAAAACAAAGTCCATGTAAAAATCTACCATGTGAACAACGCGATAATTTTTAAGAGATTAATTCTTTATTTGACCATACTAATTTGCTGTTTCAGAAAATTTATACTTATACCTATTAATTCTTGCAGGGAGAGCTCTATTCCCTCTCTGAAAATAATTTAAATCAAGTTAAAAACTTTGGAGCGGGAATCAAGGATTTTTATTTCATTTATCCTCAAATGGACTACATTGTTACTCTCAACAATGCTGGAAACTTGATGGTGTGGTATAAGGGAACAGGACAAATGGTGAGTGAATTTTTGTCAATCAACTCTAAAGTTAATCAAAGATTACAAAAGTCCAGAGCTCAAAATGGTGTGTTCAGCAAAGTATTCAAAAATACAAACCTGCATAATCTACTAAATACTGGTAAACTAAAATTATTTCTGATAATAAACCCGTCTGATTCAATTGTCAGCCTTCAATTTGTGGGACACTTAGTTTTGTTCATCTTCACCCTTTATAGCGATTGAATTGTATAAATCCTTTCTATTTCAAAAATCCTTTTTCTGTTGCGAGTACATTCACAGGTAGCTGGGATGCATCTGGGGCAAAACTGTCATAATATGCACGCAAGTCCTGCAGCTCCCCTTCTGGCAGTAGGCCGTTCAGATGGATATATCATTTTGGTGAGTGTGGAGAAACCTACAGAGCCAACTATAGTGGGAGAATTGCCCTTATGCCTTGACGATATCGGTCTTCTGGCATTCACCAGCAGTGGCAAACACCTGCTCGCAGGAACCAAGACGACTGGCCACATCTTTGTGCTGAAGGTGAGAATTAGGGTGATTACATTGAGGCTATTTGTTCCTTCACAGCCTTTACAATGTTGCTAGTCTATTTGAGTTGAAATTAATTGCTTGTTTCTTTTAATTGAGAATGATAAAAGTATTAACAGCACTGGTTTAAAAAATATTTTAAATTATACATTTGAAAATTAGGATTGAGTTAATTATTTGAACATTTTATGTAATAATATGAAGCATCCTCTCGCGTATGAAAATTGGTAGACCTTGATTGTTTTCTTTGGGTTCCATAAATACATATTCTCGCTTGTTTTAATTACTACTCAAAACGAGTATTCTTACGTTATGGTATTATCAATGAAAAGAACTAAATTAATTCTTGTACCAACCTCCGCATCTCTTTTTCTCTTCCTTTCTTTCTTTCTCTTTCTCTCTCTTTTCTCTCTCTCTCTCTCTTCCTCTCTTTTCCTCTCTTTTTCTCTCATTTTCTCTCTTTTTATCTCTTTTTCTCTCTTTCTCTCTCTTTTTCTCTCTTTCTCTCTCTTTCTCTCTCTTTCTCTCTCTCTTTCTTCTCTCTTTCTTCCTTTCTCTCTCTTTCTCTCTCTTTCTCTCTCTCTTTCTTCTCTCTCTTTCTTCCTTTCTCTCTCTTTCTCTCTCTCTTTATTTCTCTCTCTCTTTCTTTCTCTCTCTCTCTTTCTTTCTCTCTCTCTCTTTCTTTTTCTCTCTCTCCTTCTTTTTCTCTCTCTCTTTCTTTTTCTCTCTCTTTCTTTTTCTCTCTCTTTCTTTTTCTCTCTCTTTCTTTCTCTCTCTCTCTTTCTCCTACCAATCTTGGCGCTATTTCGCTCTTTTCGTAAACACTCATGTATTTCATTGAACTTAGCCCACACAAATTCAACTGCCAATTGATTTTAATTTCGAAGATGCTTCTTCTAACCATTCCTTATCAATGGACTCTTTTCAATTTTTGTAATGCCAATTATAATGGAATGATGGCTTTTTTCATAATGCCTTCATTAGTTGGTCTGTTATGTAGTAAGTTTTAACACATTATTACCTTATTTGTAAAGACACTAACACAAAAATGTTATTATGAGTATTCCATTGGTGAAAACTTAACTAATAGTTTTGAAAATCAATCCGGGGTGACTTAATTATTCGCGTGGTTTTATTATTTAGGTTTTATCAATTTCGTGTAATCGTTTTGATATGCGTTAGGATATTCATGGAAGAAAAATAAATATGACTACTAAATTAAAGAGTATTGATTGATGGCCTACAGCAGCAATAATGCTGCTGAAATATTAGTAAATTATTTACAAAAATGCTGCTGAACAAAAGGACACAGAATTGACTTCCAAAAAGTTACACTCTCACTGCTTCAGAACAACAAATAAAACACTCTCGTATAACCCTTGCAATAAATTACTTAACAAAAACAGTGTTTGCAAGTACTTCAATAACACACGTGTAGCGTAGTAAATCTGATAAAACTGGAATCGTTAATATTTAATGACGAGCGGACGATTATTTGAGCAGTGCTATCGCATGACGCCAGTTATTTCTTAAGCAGTGAATATAAGTCACTGAATATGAGAATTTAGTCGATATGTGCAGTGCGAGAATAGGAATGGCACAATTAAATATTTCCATTTTCAGTGGAAATCGAAAATGTTGAATTGTTTTTGTATATCTCACGGAACCATCTAGTCTAGTCTCTTACATGTCCGGAGGCTGCATAACTTTCTTTCAATTTCTGTGCGCATTGTAAAATAGTAATGCAGTTATCAATGATATTTTCCGTTACTTCTGAAATGTATAGTCCCACTACATGCTACCCGCAAATCACTCGCTGCCAATGTATGATATAATTCAGTGTAATATTCTTTCAGGCTCCCCCATGTAAGAATGTTTTTGTCATGGCTTACGTAAGACTGCCTACGCAAATAACAGATGCAGCAATGTTTGAAGAAGGGCAGAAAAATATTCGAGTGGCATTTATAATAAAGACATTGCATTGCTGTGAAAGAGGAGGAAATGAAATTCACATTTTCAAATGTAGAATTCACAATTCAGCAGAAATAACAAAACCTTTGAAATTGGAACTTATCATAAACACCGGATTCAACTACGTTAGCATTACGCATAATCACGTGGTGCCTGAACAGTTGCTTGCAATTCCACATCGCTCAAGACATATCCATGTGTTTGTATTGGAAAGGGTAAGTAAAATCTGCTTCCTATAAGAGTTTAGATTTAGATTTATTTAGTCAAAAACAGTAAAATCTGTATGTGACGTATGGGGGAGTTCATCATGCTGTGCTGACTAGAGAAGAAATAAGACAGTAAAGTCTATTTTTAACTTTAAATTATCATTTATTCGGTTAAAATATTACTTGAAATAATGAGCTGTTACGAACTAGTTAGCTGAAGTTCAAATTCAGTTAAAACAATGTCCAAAAGCTTTATTTTTAATGTCCATTGCCTTATAATATCTTTTAGTCATTTAAGGGTTATTTGGTAACACGTGTGAAGAAATGGCTGGTGCTACTTTTGACGATGTTTGCTACCAGTAAACTGAAGAATAATATTCCTCCTTTTCGATATTTGTTGTTTAATATACATTTACTATTACTTAATATTACATTAGAATTCTGTACCTCCGCTTTGGAATACACACAACATCCACGTACAAACCTTTTTATGGTGATTCAAATAAATGAGTAAGTAAATATGGCACTGGCATTATCTGAAAGAGGTGCGCTGGAGCCATGCATATCGTGGAACGAAAGTTCGTTGTAGGCACATGGCAGCCTAAGAACTACTGTTTCCCGTTGTACCATTTCTTACACTGGCAAGATGATGCAGTACAGATTTTGACGAAAACTTCTGGCCAGCAGTTCTGCGACAAAGAGGAATTATGAATACATTATGTTGTTTCCCCGATTTTTTTATTTGATTCTGTAGTTAAAATAAGCAATAATCCTGGGTCCGTGGACTTTTAGCACCTGCAGTTGACAGTATTTTGTTTAATTGTTAAGGAGAACTAATGTTTTACGGAAAGTGTGTTGCATCGAAGGCACGCTGAAATAATAATAGTAATCATAGTAATAGTAATAATAATAATAATAATAATAATAATAATAATAATAATAATAATAATAATAATAATAGAAATAGCATAAAGAATGTAGATTAACGGAACAAAATTCTACAAAAGATTTTCTAATATCAAACTGTTGAAGTTTGTGAAAACACTATGAAACTATTCACATTACCTCGATGATTTGCTAAAGATATTGACAGTAGAACTTAAGCATTTTTACTTAAACCAGTGGAATTATGACTTCAGTGCAAGTTGCAACTTGCATGCCACCAGGGTAAGCGTTTCGGCAACTGCTTTCCAGAGAGAAATGTTTGCGTCTGGCAATACGTACAGGAGCAAGTGCTTGTTCCACCATACGATTATCGGAGTGCAGAACACCGCCAGCAGTTGCTGCAGAAGGCAACAATCACTCGCCACTAAAAAGGCAGCATAGTATGACAGGCTCTTGAAACGTAGACTGGATGACCCAGAGAGGCCTCAGAACGTCGAGATTCTCTTCGTCTGTGAGGAAATTACAGGAGAGCATTTTCAAAGTTAAGAGATGACTAATAATAATAAACAAAATGCCATATTATTTGCTCAAATAACGTTTTCTACAAGACTGTTTCAAAAACAGTTTGAATGTGTTGTAAATCTACAAAAAAGAGAATGAACGTGTCAATATATAATTGTCTTCGATAATATCAGATACAATCAGATCACTGAGAAGCCACGACATTACGATATGAATAATGAGTGGTAACGTAATTCAGTGGAGCCACCGTTATCGGCCATAATACTTATTCGGTTTGACGGAAAATCGAAAATCCCAAACAATTGAATTGTTTTGTTTGTTAAAATGTGCCAGTTAAAAAATAAGTTGAGAATAAATGGTCCAATATCGGTACCCTAAGACGAATTGCACTGCGTATTTGTATTTTGTTGTTAATTGAAGCTATTGTTGTTGCCGACCTGGATGGTCGAGGTGGCCAGAGCGGGTGAGACTCAGCGCCTAGGTCTTAAAGGCTGCAGGTACGTTTGCTGTGCAAAGAGTCCCACCGTAAGCATGGTTGTTTGTCCCTTGCTTTTCATGCATGAGCATGCGTGTTGACGCGGAAGGCCTTCTAAGTCTGCTAGCCATAGCCCGAGGAACCCGCAAGTGTATCTAGTGTCTCCATGAAGGACATAGTGGGTACCCAACGCGTATAGTCGAAATCTGCATCCCCCGAAGCTGGCAAAAGTTCCATGTATAAAAATTGCGTAAAGCTTGATTATTTCTAGATAAGTGCATTCGTTTGTGCTTGTGTATGTTGGCCTGTCCAGCGCGAAACGAAACGTTCGCAGGTGGAGTCGGACGACGGGATGCCGACGCTGCGGCCGCGCCTGAAGGTGGCGCTGGCGTCGGGCCACCAGATTCGCAGCACGACCGTGCGGCTGGCGCGTGACGTGGTGGTGACTTGGGGCGCGGACGGGCTGGTGGTGCTGCGGTGCGCCGCCACGCTGCGCCCGCTCGCCGCCATCACCGGGCACCACCGCGCCGACGGGGGCGTGGCCCGAGCGCGCACCGACCCCGGCGCCACCATGCTGCTCTCGCTCGGCTACGACGGCGCCTTCGTCGCCACCGACATGCGCGCGCCAGGGTGCGCGCTCTCTCACGCTAGTTCTCACTCGTTCTCACCCTTCTCACTCACTCTTCTTAGCCGCTCCCACCCATTTTCACTCGCTCTCTCCCACTTTCACTCGGTCTCACTCTTTCATCTGCTTTCAACCGTTTTCACTGGCTACCACTAGTTCCCTTCCGCTCGCACTCTGTATTGTTGTACTATTGAATTGTTGCTCGCTAGGCCCTGATTATAGGCTGGCAGGGCGTCTCAGTTAAAACAGCAAAAGCATATCACAAATTATTCAGATTGATGCGTCCTTGGGAGCTACGTCCCTTCAGAAGACTGCAGGATGGTGGATCAGCACAAGTGAAATACAGAAGATGTTGTAGCAAAGGTTTAAGCAAGAGTCCTTTACTTACTAGGAATGAATATAATGAAGTTATATCAAAGTGACGTGAAGACCTCCGTCCAAGTAAACGGTAGCTCAGAGTGTCCCCCGGGCGGTGCCCATGGGCATACTTTATAGCACTCAGGGCTTTGTTCATCATACGCTTCCACTTGCGTGGCACGTGGCCTCCCTCCTCCAGAAATGACGTGGCCACAGGGCGTCGAACCGCCTCTCTGTGCCCATGCCTCTACTCCGGACATGTAGTCCGTCACCTTAAGGGTTTACTCTTGGAGCTGGGGGCTGCTAGGGGGTGACCTTATGTCTTACGAACCCACGTGCCTAAGTATTTATACTAATAAATACTTCCCAGTCGAATGCGTCATGATCAAATACGCACGTATTAAGTCTACCTTATAGAATGATTACAATCAGTACAATAACTTAAGTAGCGGTTACAATCATTACAACTCGCCCTTTCCCCCTGATTCCCACTTTCAATAATTCTCGCTCTTTCATCTGCTCTTACTAGCTCTCTCATTCCCACCCGCACTCACTAGCTCTCTCATTCCCACCCGCACTCACTCGCTCTCAAACGTTTTCACTCGTTCTCTCCCAGACGCATTCGTTCTTACTTTCACCTGCTTTCATACGCTCGCACCCGTTTTCACCCGCTCTTATCTGCATTCGCCCGCTCTCACCCACTCTCATCCATTCCCACATGCTCTCATCCGTCCCCACTCGCTCTCATCCGTTCTTATACGCTCTCATTCACCCTCACTCGCTCTCACGCGGTCTCACTCATTCCCGCCCGCTCTCATCTGATCGCTCTCATTTGTTCGCATATGCTCTCAGTCGCTATCTTCCATTCTCACTAGCACTCACCAATTCTCATATACTTCCACTCGTTATCTTCCGCTCACAAACGCTCCCATACTTTGACCTGTACTCGCTCTCTTTCGCCTGCTCTCACTAGTTCTCACCCTTCTCACCCTCTCTGGCCCGCTCTCACCTATTTCACTCGCTCTCTCCCACTTTCACACGTTCTCACTCTTTCCCCTGCTCTCACTCCCACTCCTTTTTCACTCGCTCTCACCTTTTCTCCTCCGCTGTCACTTGCTCCCACTTGTTCGTATTCGTTCTCACCCGCTCTCTCGTATGCTCTCTATCTCTACTACTACCTTTCCCTTTCACCCGTTCTTGCTGTCTTTCACTTGCTCTCACTCGCTCTTACCCCTTCTCATTCGCTTTCTTATTCTCACTCGCTCTGACTCGGCCTCATCCACTCTCCCGTTACCCCCTCTCCTGGCTCTCACCTATTCTAACTCCTTGCCGCTCTAAACCGCTATCGCCCGTTCTAAACAACTCTCATCTATTCACAGCTTTTACAGGACGCTTTCGCTCTCTCCCACTCTCTCCCTCTCTTTCGCTCTCGCTCTCGCGGTCTCGCTCGCGCTGTCTCGCTTGCGCTCTCTCGTTCACACTGTCTCGCTGTCGATCTGTTTCGCTCTCACTCTGTCTCGCGCTCTCTCTGTCTCGCGCTCTCTCTGTCTCGCGCTCTCTCTGACTCGCGCTCTCTCTGTCTCACGCTCTCTCTGTCTCGCGCTCTCTGTCTCGCGCTCTCTCTGTCTCGCGCTCTCTCTGTCTCGCGCTCTCTCTGTCTCGCGCTCTCTGTCTCGCGCTCTCTCTGTCTCACTCTCGCTCTGTCTCGCTCTCGCTCTGTCTCGCTCTCGCTCTGTCTCGCTCTCGCTCTGTCTCGCTCTCGCTCTTGTCTCGCTCTCGCTCTTGTCTCGCTCTCGCTCTTGTCTCGCTCTCGCTCTTGTCTCGCTCTCGCTCTGTCTCGTACTCGCTCTCGCGGGCTGACACTTGATCTTTCGCCTTCTATTACATGTTCTCACCGAATTCCACCAACGTTCCCTCTGCTCTCACCCCACCCCCTTCTAATTTGGTCTCATTCCCCTTCACTTGCTCTCATTCACTCTTACCTGCCCTCTCACTCTGTCATCCGTTCTAACCTGCTGTCAAACGCACCCTCTCGTCTTCTCCCGTTGACACCTGTTTTCTCTCTCTCTCTCTCTCTCTCTCTCTCTCTCTCTCTCGCCTCCACCTGGTCTTTCCGTTGTCCCTTAATCCCTCTCCCGCTCTCCCGCACTCTAGCTCTCACATGATCTCTTCTACCCTGACCCGCCCTCACCTGCTCTCAGCTGTTCTCTCCCCAGTCTCACTCAACGCCGCTCTAAACTGCTCTCGCCAGTTCTAAAACAGACCCACTCATTCACAACTGTTCACAGATACTCTCTTCGGAACGAACATGCTCTCATCCGTCTCCAACCATTCATTCACACTTTAAGACTAAAATCAGAAAAGCTTGTATTGAAAATTAAGTTGAGTGAATATTTCTAGTCTTATTTTCATTTTTAAACATTAAATGTGTTTCAATTACAACAACGCATTACTGAAACTAGGTTAATAATAGAATCTACACTTTCATTACTACGAAGATGTTCCTCTTCAATGGCATTCATATCATCATTCATATCAAAACAAAATTTTGCATTCTTCTTTAATTAATTTGAATGAATTTTGTTTATCTTATTCAAATATGGAAAATTAAGAAAATAATATTAAGAAAAATATTTGTTTCAAATACACATTCTTTTCAAAATTATCTATTGTATTATTCTGAAGTATTGCGATTTCAATGTTTCAGATTTGATGACATTGAGGGTTATCCTGAACCTGCAAAATCAGAACCTAAGGAAGAGAAATCGAAGTCAAAGTCAAGATCAGTTGTAAGCGGAATGTTCGGGACTGAAAATGACGAGGAAAAATTGACTGAATATGTTCTAATTGGTATGTAGTAAATTCAGAAACCTTCATATTATGTACTGCGATCTCAGCTGGATTTGAATATATTACAACAAAAGTGCATATTTCAAGTGCATATTGTTACTTTTAATGTAGAAATTAGTGGGTAGCAAAAGGCCATGGATTGGAAAGGAGGAAAAGGAAGGGACGAATAATGCAAATTTTGCCTTTTTGTATTATTTCTTTAATTTACGTTTGACTTTTATTTGTGTTACACATTAGTGTTTTATTTACATGAATTTATTTTTAAATCAAGTTTCATGTTTTAGTATTTTGCCACATGTACCACTGGCGGCTTCATACATTCGCCATTTTTCAATATTAGGAAAAATCTGGACGGACGTGCATCACGAGGCCGCATGGCTAAGTGCTTTCTATTTCCACTTTATTTCTCTCTCTATCTCTTTCTCTCTCTCTTTTTCTCTCTGTTTCTCTCTTTCTCTCTCTCTCAACTGGAATTATATGGTGTCATTTTTGTATTTTGAAATTTAACCAAGTTTACAACTCTCTTAACCTATTTGTAAAACGTATGTCACATCAAATCAATTATTCAATATAATATTTAAATAATTATAATTGCGGAGCGCTTAGAAACATTGCGAGAGAGTATGTGCTTTGGCAGCACTACTAGTTTATTTTCAATTTTTTAGATCGAATACCTGATTTACTTTTCAGAAATGCAATCAGATATGATTACTTAATTATATCGATATTTTGTGTATTATCATGGAGCATAAATAATTTAACATGGAGCATAAATAATTTAACATGGAGCATACATAATTTAACATGGAGCATACACAATTTAACATGGAGCATAAATAATTTAACATGGAACATAAATACGTAAATAATTAAAGTACAAAAATATAGGACCCAATTTTCCGACATCTACTCAGAATGAGTAGTGACCGCTTCCCAAAACAAATGTATCACTATATTTCTCATGGCAAAAGGGATGTCGGCCGTCCAAGATTAAGATGGCATGCTGAAGACGGTAAAGAAGACTCTCCTAATCCCTGAAGAGATGACGATGCTAACAAAACATTTTCATTTCAGTTTTTGACCTTTTTTCCTTTGCACAACTTTTGTAATTTTCATAAGTCATTTCAAAAGCTTCCTTTGATTTTTCTGATAGAAGCGATGCCACGACATTTTCAGCATTGATCCCAAAGAAACATCATAATGAAATCAACAACTAAGATACAAAGTTATTAGAAACTCAACACATAAACTCTATCACCTTTTGAAAACCTGAGCCTATATGCGCACATATGCCCCAGAGCCTCGCGCTAAGTAAAAAAAAGCTAGTGGTGCTAAACAGTACTTACTTTCTACCCTAGAAAGTAAAAACTATTATCATCTTGTTCTTGGAGGGGGATTCTGTCTGCCCGGGAAACGCTGAGTCGTAGACACTTACAGATTAGCCAGGAAGCATTACATTCCGGACTCGGAAGACATTATCTTTTTATTTTTATCTAAGACCTGCCAGTAAGGTTTTTATTTAGACGTTGAGATTTGTTGAGGCTGCGAAATTTTGCTTAGATTATTAAGAGAGCATTTGTAGAAACTGCTACGAGAAATTCTGTTCATCGCCTTTCTGTGTTCTTGTCGGACGAGTAGATTCTGAAAAGACGACCCATAATTGTCAAGATTAACACCTTGCCCTAAGAATCATAAGGTATTGAAGAAATTGATATGGTTTCTTTTGTCTGGTCGAAAATAAACGTTCCCTTCACGAATTCTATTCGTCAGTCATGCTTTCGGCTGTCTTTGCCTCGTCTCAGAGCGCGGGTCACGGAGACTGCATTAATATGCTGGGAATTGCTTGCCAACGTACCGACCAAACTTTCAATACACTCAATAAGCGTATTACTTAGCTTCTCAACGTGATTGCTACGTAACTGCTCGCGGCTCCAGATTCTTAAACAATGCGATCTCATAGTGTCTCATGTGAAAATATTGAATTCCGGGAAATTTCTTCAGTGTGCATAGCTTTTTCGCCATCGGCCAGGAGGTAGTGCGATCTACTGGTCACTTTTGGAAACAGTTTGAAGGTTTATTTCAACTAGATTCATATAAAATTATTTTTTTGCTACTTATAAGAGAATTTGTGGTGTTTTTGGGGCCAAACTAATCTCGAAGGCAGGAAGTTTGAAATGTATCATCCTTGCTTCTTAAATACCTCAAAGAGTATCCAAACCGAATGAGCTCCAAGCGTGGCGCCAAATTTGAACTAGTTTGGCCGACTATGCCATTAAGAATATTTATCTATTAATCAGTGCTCTTGAATATTTTGAAAATATGAAATAGACTGTTGTACTGACCGACAAACGTGATAATATGTTGACAATTTATTTTGGTCTGTATTCTTCCGCAGCTGGAGTCAATGCATTTTTGACTATCCGGGATGAGCCGCGTCTCGGTCAATTGCCTTCTTCAGAGCTATACTGCTGGTAAGGAGCTATACTTCAGCAGTATAGCTCTTAAGAAGGCCACAGCAAGATGGCCGAAACGTCAGTACAATTGACCGAGACGCGGCTCATCCCGGATAGCCAAGAATGCATAAGTTCGTATTAGTTTTATATGTAATATTTGGATCCGGATGCAATAATTTACAGTTAAACTTTGATTCCAAAGAAAAAATATAGAAAATAGCAAGTGAGATACATTAATTTTGTATAGCTGAGAAAGCATAATGAAGGGTGATGAGCACATCCTTCGTAAATTCCTTAGTCTTAGAATTTTTTTGATTAGTTAAGTACATATGCTCATTTATTTCATGAAAAACCGTTGATTATCACTATGTATATGACATGCGTGCCATAAAAGCTTCAGCTTGCAATTAAAACTCCATAACTACCAATCAGAACACGCAAAAAAGATCAAGATCATTTAATTAAGACTCCATAACCCAGACGTAGCCAAGGTGTTTCCTGTCGGCCATGAAACATGAACAAACATGAACAAATGTACATCACAGATTACGTACATCAAAAACGTAATCAATGAAAGAATAAAAATTGTAAACTAATAATTATAACTTCTTCTTAGACAATCGTCTTAATATTTTAGTACAATAAGTTAAATTAGAAACTAACCCTACTCATACTTTGCATTAATCATCCTAACCCAGAAGTCGTTATATATTTCCCAGATATGTTTACTTCACCTATCCGAACATAAAGGCCCAGGGATAGCATTTGCTGTGGCAAAACCACTTTTATTTACAAAATCAAGTAACAAAATTTATAATTTGAAATATCTATATTCTCCTTTAAACGCAACGTCTTCAACATAAACAAATACGACCATAAGCATGTTGGTTTGACACTAGCTGACTAATGGAACAACATAAAGTATTTAACATGAATAAATATGTTACATGTAAAACATTTGGTTTAGCATATTACTAATATAAAAATGTAATCCTCAGTTGTATTTACCCGCTCTGAAAAGTACACCAGCGAAACTTTTGAGTCAGAACTGATTCGTCTTCTCCTTTCCAACATTAACACGTATTGTTCTCTCATACATCTCCTTTCTTTTCACGCGAAGTAATGTTTTCATGGCATTGTCATCTTCTTCTTATATTTCATAAGCAATTTGTTAAATAAAATTGCTAAACGTTTTTTTATTTCAAATGTTATTCTCAAAGACACAACGGTGATCATAAAAATACACTGCAAGGTCTACTAAAATATGTCTTATTCAGAACTATTATGACATCATCAAATAGATGCCTCAAATGGTAAAGTTATGCTTGAATTTTCAAAATTAAAATTATTCTTAAAAGGAAACGAAAAAATATTGAACGTAACACGTGGATAAAGGGGTATAATTTCACTCGTGGTATAAAAAAAAACTCACTCCTATCGTCGCGTGTTTTCTTGAACATACCATTCATACAAATATAGCCCTCTTTATCCACTCGTTTCGTTAATTACTATTAAACAAAAATATTTACTGTATATCCTGTTGAATTTTATGGAAACTGTGAACTGCAGTTTTTCCTCTCTGGTAAATAATATGTTTTAGTGAAACTTGTAATAAATACTAGTGAAACAATTATCATTTTCAATGAAGTATTTCCTTGTACAAAATTAAAATTATAAAAATAAACGATATTTTAAAAAGCAAATAAATGTATTAACCACACAACTGTTATAGTGAAATTTATTGTTTAAAGACTAATAGCAATTTCATATCAATAATTTTCTTTGTAGGTTCAGATAGAAGTGTCAATTGGCTGCAAAAAAGAAAGGAAATGAAAGATAAAGAAGATGCTCTTCAGCAAGGTAACAAGAGGAAGAATTACCAGAAAATGTTATCTGATGTTAAGAAACAGGTGCGATTGATAAATTAAACAATTTATTTGCATAATTAGACCATACTGGCTCTGGAGTTACTGGACCTGAAATTACTTCACTCTAAATATTCTCAAACGTTATCCTAATTTGCTCAAGAAAAAAACCAAACATCTTTTTGCAATATCATATGAGAAATCTTAATTTATATTATTTTGAATCCAATGCAATTTTGATCTCATAAATTCCAAAGACATTTTTGTAAACACTCTTTGTGTTAGTAACTATTCTTTTATCAATAAATATGAAATAATCGTTGAACGTAGAATACAATTTCTTTGACTCTCCAACCTTTTGACAGCTTTAATATTATATTTCACTATTTTTTTATCTCTTTTCTGTTCTAGTAACATTTTATGAGCATTTCTTTCGAATATTTTGGTGACATATATTCATTAAAAATGTTCATACTTTTCTAGAACCATAATATCATAAAATAGTATATTAATTTTTTTGCTGAAAATGTTTCAAACGCTGATGTATTTAATTGCCTTTAAAATTCTTAACAGGCCCTTACACTTTTTGAGGCAAATTTGGAGGGACCAGAGGAGGAGAAACTACCCATCGGTGAATTTGATCTGGACGACGAAACTCGGCGAAAAAAGATTGAGAATTTCAATGAAATCATGGGAGACATGATTATACGGATGAATGCTGAAATTTCCGCCAGAAATGCTCTAGCAGCAAAAATTAAGGGTCGTACCTGGGATAAAATGATAGTGAAGACACAACATATCCATGTGCGTATGTTTTAATACGTTCAGAACTAGATTACAGAGAGAAAACATCTGTTTCTGAAAATATTTCCCAAAGAAAAGAGTTCTTCTGGAGTCCTCTGCTTAATTTTAATATTTTATAAGACCAAACGTGAACATGAAGTTGACATTTACTTTTTCCACAATCATTCTTAATGTGTAAAAATTGGTGTATTTCCTATGATTTGAAAGGTCAGTTTGAAGTTGGAAAGTGGTTATTGTTTGTTTCATAGGAGAAATAATGTTTTCTATGAAATCATATATCATAGAGGAATGTCAGCTTCTTTTGTTGTTTACAAAGTTCTTTAAAATAGCAACGTTAGTCCGATAATCAAAATATAGAATGAGTGTTAAATTATTCTTTTCAGGATAATGAGTTTTGTGTGTTTCAGAGGGGGAGTAGAAATGGGTGAGAAAGAGGGTGTTAGTAAGAGAGAGTATTTGGATAAGAATAAGGAGGGTTAGAGAGGCTGAACGTATGCGTGGACGAGAGAGACAAACAGACAAATCGCCAGAGACAGACGGACAGAGAGCCGGATACAGACGGATAGAAAGCCGGATACAGGCGGACAGAGAGCCGGAGACAGACGGATAGAAAGACGCAGACAGGCAGACAGAGAGACGGAGACAGGCGGACAGAGAGCCAAAGATAGAGAAAATTAAAACTCCAAAATGAGGTATTACAGAAATTGTTTTAAAAATATCAATTTTATAATACTTTATCAATAAATTGTTGCATCCACTGATTTTATATTCATCATTCAGATGTTAATTGGAAGTTACATTTATGTCGAGAAGTAAAACAAGGGGCCATCTCAGCATTTTCTCAAAGATCAAAGAAACTGGACGAAAACCTCATCGAGATGGGGGGCATTGACGCAGAAGCTGAAGTACAATGCTTGTTACAGGTTCTTTAGAATTATACAATTCAAATAGTAAATAATACACTAAATGTCGCTGTTAAAATTAAAATTACTCTACTTTTGGATGCTCGGTATATTCTTTAATTTTATAGAAACAGTTGTGCAGCAGACGATAATTTACTTGCGACTTAAACTTTTGTATGGCATTAAATTGTTTAATGCCATCTTGCCAGGTTTTGTAAAATAATGTACATGTATTGTATATGATTTTTTTGTAGTGAGCTGTTGATACTGTCACCTGATGAATATGATTACTTCGTCGAGTGTTGTAGTTATAGATATCAGCGTTTGCTGAAAACATATTCCCGACCTTAAGTAAGTCATTTTGGACAAAAACCACTGATTCATATATCAAAAGGCAAGGTAATGGTAAAATATCTAGATTAATAAATAGTCTTACAAGAATCACGTGGGTAGGATTTTCTTAATATTCGTAAAATTCTTTTTTGTAATCTAAAAGTTTGGGAGCTATAAAATGTATTTCTTCAGAATATTATGCCATATCTCAGGCGGGAATGAACATTCACGAAATATACACATTGAAAGACCTAAAAATTTTGTTATCTTAACATCAGGCAATGGCACAATGTTCATTTTCAATGGAGTACAGAGCTGTTTACGGGAAATGGAAAACTGCATTGAAACCGTTTTTACTTTTCATTTACTATTAATTTGTTATAACGGAACCAATTTGAAATATCGGATATTGTACTATTTACAGTTTCCTTATTGCCAAGAATATTCATATTATCCACTAAGAGAATTGTTTTTCAGTTCTAATCGTCGAGGGCATGTCGTTCACGTATAGCAGGAAGAGAATGTGGCCTAAAATTGATCCCTGCGGGACTCAACATTCAAATGGAAAACAATCGGAAATGTGTGTACTTTTTATTCCAGTAAGGTATTCCTGCTCTCTGAGATCGTTGTTTAAAGTACGAAAATGGTTGTTTCCGTAGATTTTAATTTTCGAAACCCATGTTGGCAATCTGAAAATACGTCGTGTTTACTAAGAAAGGTTTCCATTCGTGTGTAAAGAAGTCTCTCTAATATGTTTTAAGAAAATCTACAAAAGAGAAATTGGCCAATAATTTTCAATTTTATTTTTGTTGTCTTTTTTAATCTTAACTGTTTTAAAAGATTTAGTAGTTTTAGTCGAGTTAATGTCTTGATGAATAAATGAACTTAACAATAAAGGATCACACATAAATTATTAAGTGCTAGAAAAGTTTACGTTTGGCATGTTTTCCCGTGTGAAATGAAATGTACTAATGGACAGCGAGTGTTGGGATTAATTTGGTAGATACTGTAATTTACATTCAAATGTATTCCTATTTATTTCGTTTGTCAAAGTAATAAATGATTGCTGCACCTGACTACTGAATGCAGATATGCTTCAGAGGCACTTTGTTTGAATTGGTTGAATTAGATGTTTTAAAAAACAGCTAAGGTGTTAGTGGCGCAGAAAGTGCAATCTTTCAATATTCCCTAGCTATTTCAAGATGTATACAGAGAGCTGTTTCCAATAACACGAGAATGTATGTTCTGTTGTAGTACCAATATTTTTAATATATCTCCGTCGTTAATATTTACATTACTGGCGGTTTTAATTCTGTATTGCATTTATGAATACACGTATTTCAAATAATGTATTAAAGTTTTATCGAAAACTCAAAAATTTTCTAAGAAAATGTGCTCAAAAGTCCAGTTTTAGAAACACTCAATCTCCATTTTCTCGACAACGGCTCCGAATTTGTTCTTATATATATAACTATATGCGGATAGTGTTTAATGCAGAGAATTACATTACATTAACACCATTTTGATTTATTCTTTCATTTTTTCAATATATATATATATATATATATATATATATATATATATATATATATATATATATATATATATACATTACTGCATTTTTGAATGAAAGTGTTTCAAAGGATTACTAATAAGTTTTCTCGAAAAATCTTCTGTGAAAATTTGTTGAAAATGGCACCTTTTCAGAAACACAAGCGACAGTTCCTCAAAACTGGCTCCCAATTTTTCAACGAAAAAATCCAAATAGGGCGAGATTTTACTCTTAAATAATATTCTTAAAGTCATATTACTTACTCGCACCTACTAATGTATGAAGAGAAACTACTGTAATCGAGCGCCGGAAGTGGCGAAATTTCAACATAAAAACTCTTATTGCCGAGCCCTTGAAAGGAAAAAGTGGATAAATCTAGTTGCTAAATATAGAAAAATAAATCCTCTAACGCGTGGTGTAGCCATAATTCATGTTTTGTGCAACTTGATACCGAACTAGTGGTGTTACTGAATGGCACAGACTTTCCCGTATGAAGTTTTCTATTTCCTTTGGTCTGGGCTTGCCATTCGGACTTGCCTTATCCTCTTGTCAGTTGCCATCTATTGCCATCCAAAGTTCATTTTTTGATACGTTCTTAATTTTTCAGTTTCCTTATAGTAGAACGGAAATATTGTTTTAAGAGCATTAAAGAACAGTACATCGTCATTCTAAACGGCTATTTCCTTTGAAAACTTTTGAGCCGTTTTTAAGAAAATGGCGTTTAAACGCTACTCTAGGACGTTTTTCGAAAACTCAAACATTTTCTGTGGAAAAGAGCTTCAAATTTTAGAGTTTTCGAAAAACTTCCTTTGAAGTCATTTGAAGCCCATTAACTCGCAAGTATAATAATGTTACCAAATTGCTGGGAATGTGCGTATTAATAGTGTGAGAGATCTTCCAAAAAAATACATTCTCGTAAAAAAGAATACCCAAAAATGAACTTTATGCTATTTTAAAGAGTGAAATTAGCTCTGCCCGTTGGAGAGTTTTGAAGAAAAACTTTGAAGCCATTTTTGAAGAAATGGCGTTTGAGCGTTTCTGAAAATGCGAAATCTAGAGCTTGTTTTGACTGAAAACTGTGGAGTTTGCGAGAAACAAACAATATTATTTGAAGCATATACAATGTGAATAAATCGTTGCTAAAATATAAACTGTGTGAGACAAATGACAAAAATAAGGTTTTTGTAATTAAAAAAACAAAAAAAGAATAGAGCAATATGACGTTTCTGCCATCTCTTGGAGTACTATTACCACTATTCATACCAAAACTTCAATAAAAATTCGGAGCCGTTTTTGGAAAAATCTTGTTTTTCTCTGTTTTCTAAAATTGCTCGAAATATTGTGCAACAACAACTAAAATTTTCAAAACGATGTACATCACATTAATAAAATAATTAATTATGGACAAGAAATTTAATTTGAAGGAAAAATCTTTTTCTTCAATTTTGTAGTTGTAAGAAGACACAGCACAAAACTCAAAATTGTGCAATTTTCGAATCTTCAGAGTTAACTGTGGAAATCTGACCTGTGCTACCTTTAAAAGTGAATTTTAATCTTCCTTACAAAAACTATACAACGAAAAAATTTGGTGGCATTTTTGAGGAATTATTTAAAATGTACAGGGGGTTTTATGTAAATTTCCCCGCACATTTTGAAAAGTTTTTCAAAATGTCAAAGCATTGGCTCGAGCCTGATGGACAGGCTTTTCTTCAATTTGGAAAAAAATCCTACGTACGTTAGGCGCTAGTGGTGTTCACAAACGGATAGACACAGAAGTTTTGAAAAAAACACTTTTTCGGTATCAGGGGACCCCAAAATATGTATTTCCGTTGAAATTTCGAAATAGATTTTCTGCAGCATTACATAACATTCCCTATACTACGTGTATTACTCCGTATAGTCGTACATATATGGGAAAGTAAGATGACATCGATCGACAACAAAACGCCTATTTGTCCATCTTTGCATTACCCTAGTACACAAAATTCATATTTTTCAATCTTTTTCGCGGCACCTGAAATTTGTAATCGATATTTTAGTTTTGGGGGCTACTTTATATGAAGCCTCTCGAACATTTTCAAAATTTAAAAACAAATGGTTCCACATTTTTTGTTTAAATTTTGTTGTTGAATAATGTAAAGAAAGATTACGAGAATGATGCAAGTATCATTTTGGTTGAAATCCCTTAAAACTACAAAATTGAAGATAATAATGTTTGCCCAAGACAAAATATGTTGCACAAAATTAGGTCTTTAAAAAAGGACATGTACATTCTTTGACAATGAAGCGAGTAGTTTTTGCGTAATTTGCACTTGAAATTTACGATTCTTTTCTGAAAAAACAGCTCCATTTTTCCTTTAAAGTTTCTTCACTTATGTAAAGTAATGGTATAAAATATGGTGCTAGTCCCATTTTCGAGTACTGCTCGCTTTTTTCTTAAATTGCAAACAAAATTCAAAACTACAAAATTGGAGAGAGATTTTCCTCAGACAAATCTTTGTACAAAATTAGTTATTTCGGAAAGGTCGTGTACTGTTTTCTTTTGTAAAACGTAGTTTTGAAGGAATTTCTGTTTGGAATTAATGAAACATATACGTCACGTCGTACTTTACGATATAATTGTAATATTGCGAGAAAGTATGTGCTATTATAGCAACACCAGTTTTAGTTTTACCATTAGGGGACTCAGAAATTGAGAAAATGTGGAAATATACTTTGGGCGGTAATAGAGGGGCAGCTGCGAAGAGGGTGGGGCAAAACCGAAAAGATAGCACTAACTGAAGAGATAAGGAAAGTAAATAGTACTATAAAGTCTGTACCATTCTGTAGCACCATTAGGTTTAATTGCCCTAATTTCATTGAAACGTACGCAAAAATTACACAAATCTTTAAACTGTGCATGCAAATGTATGAATTCGACAACAGCAACAGTGGTGGAAAATTCATTCTAAAGCCATGTTGTGATTTATTAAGGATATTATTGGATTCAAATAAATAATTAAGTCTTGCTAATATCGCTTTTTCTTTTGCCAAATACTGAAGTTAGGGTTACAGGTCGGTAATTCCTAACATATTGTGTATTATTATTCTCAGCAAGTGGTCTCACAATACTAATATTTAGAGATTGTGGGAAAATGAATAGAGATGGAGATAAATTTATTAAATAAGCTAATATGTTAAGAAGAGCAGGATTACATATTTTAAGAATGATTGAAGAGATTTCATCATTCCCAGATGAGAAACTATTTTTGACGGAATTTCTCAATTGACGGACTTCAGTAGCACTTGTGTGGTATATATGGAGTTCAAGACGACAAAGGATTAACTAATATTACTGGTTACAGTGTCCTGTTTTGAATTTTAAGATATGATAGTTAATGATCGTAAAAATATCAGAAGATTTATCAAGAAATAAACCTTCATGTAGTAAATAAATGCTTTTGTGAGTCTGAGATTTTTTTGTTGATTTGCTAACTTTATGAGATTCTTAGTATGTCATGTTTTTATTTCTAAGAACAAAAATTTCATTAAGAAATTTGATTTGGTGTTTCTTCACTGCATTAATTTTTCTTTCAATATTAGAACATGCAATATTCAAATAATAATTTAATGTACTCAACAATTTCTCGTTTTACCATTGAGAAATTCAGTGTGTTCTTCTATTAGAAGACATTAATTTAACAATTGTCTCTTAGTATCATTTGTGTTACCGGTGAATCTGTAGTTAGGTTGTTCAAGGCTTATGGGGCAATTGATTATTTAAACTTGTGCAGAGTGTTCAGATAGATGAAAATCAATATTAAAAGAAGAGTAAGTATTTATTATTTAATTGGCTGTCCGGGTGACGCCGCGTCCATGGCAAAGGTGCCGATGTTTCGCTCGCCATTCTGCGACCTTCCTCAGGGCCCTGATGTATCTGAGAAAGGTCGCAGAATGGCGACCGAAACGTCGGCACCTTTGTCACGGACGCGGCGTCACCTGGTCAGCCAATTAAATACTGACTCTGGCCGCGGAAGCCTACGATCTCAAGTATTTATTAAATGTTTGTAATTATGCGGTATATATTTGAGCTGGAATGGGTCGTAACATGTGTTGGCCATGACTCCTCATCATGGAGTTTGAAATTCTTGAGTAAATCATGAAATCCATTATGTTCAGTATTAATGTTCAGATCTCTCAAAAGGATTAACTTCCAATTGTGGTTCCCTAAGAGTTTAGTGAAAAGGTCTTCAAATCTGAGTAGAAAGTCATTATCACTATAATTTGGGGATCTATAATGCCAATGATTTTAATGTTCCCTTTCATTGTATTTACAACTGCAGCTACTTCAAATGTCATTTCGATAATCATATCTCTAATCCAGTCTATTGATTTGAAAATTAAATTATTCTGTACTTATTGCAACACTGCCACTTTTATTGAATTTTCTATAGAAATATGCAGGAAGTTTATAGTTGGAAAGACTAATTGTAGCTTGGAAGGCTTATGTTAGTTTATAGTTGGTAAAGCTTAAGTGACTCTCCTTTACCATACCAAGTCAGTTTTATCCTGCGTGCCCAATTTACAACAAAAACAATGTGACATTCACATCAGTGATGATCCTTCCTCCTAAATCTATATGTTTCTATTTTGCATTTGATAAGTTAATTCCAATTTCAGCTGTTAACATGTAACTACATTTCATCTCATGAAATGAGAAGTATAAAACATTTGTATTTCTTGTTTTTTATAGGCTTTCCTGGGACAATTTTTTGTGGAAAATTATGCAATTCTTCAACCTGATTTAGAATTACAAAAAGCATTGTCTGCACTTGAAAAGCGAATGAGACTGACCTGGAAAACCTCAAAGAAGGACTGTTTCTATCCGTGGATGCCAAAAGTTAATTATGAGTAAGACATATAACAGTAAGATATATAAAAACACGTAAAAACATTACTGGTGGGTTACAATGATGTCATGTTATGATATGAGTTTAATCTTTGGATTCGTCTTTTTGACTTTATTCATCGAATTGCATGTAGGTTTGCTCACAGATCCTCAGTTTGAAATCCTTATAATTCCATTGTTGTGTCAGGGTCGAATAATTCTCATCATAAATAATATTGTAAAAAAACAGTTGCAGTTGGTGTTTATTTCTAAAATACTGCTACAAACTTCCTGTGATTGATCGCAAAGGCAGAAATAGAAGCTATAGAAAGAAGTAAGAAAGAAAGAGAGAAAGAAGTAGAAACTATAGCAAAAAGAAGTATATAGAAACAGCTTTTTTAGAAAATGGAGATGGGATAATTTATTCCACTGTAAATTATCAAATTCTTAGATGTAAATGTCTGTTTATAGATTTTATAAATTCCACTAGGGTCAATTCTCATTTCTTTTAATTATGTAAATCCACACATAAAAGCACATTTGAGGCATATGTGCCTTTTTTCGGCAAAGTTGATTAACCCTTTCGCTCCTAGCGGGATATACGTGCCCCGCAAACTTTCAAAACGCACTATTGGAAAATTCTGTTGTACGTGTGTATTTCAATTGAACGTGCGTCCCAGTAGGTCCTAATGTCAATGTAATTAGTTCTTCTTTTTTTCATCAAATCACACATAGACTTTTTTTTGTTATTTAAGGTCGCATCAACTTCTAGGTCATTAGCAACCACTATTGCTTGTAACGGTATGGTAACTGTGAGTATGACACGATATGATGATGATAGAGGTGAAAGGACGAACTCAATACAACCATGCCCGAGGCCGAACTCGAACCCGCGATCCTTTGGTCCGAGATCCCCACGGTACTACTGCCTTAGCAATATCGGCCGTCGGATCGGCACATGGACATTCTTGTTTATTCTTGGCAGTAATATGTTGTAACAGTGGAGTAATGGATTCAAAAGGTTGGCTTTGGTGGTAATCTGGTGAACAGTACAGAAAGTTCTACTGCGGCACCTGTAATCAGGCGTACGAATCAGACTGACCTATACAAACAATAAAATCTTTTTTATGTATACTTCTATGTATTACATCAGGGGCGGATCCAGAGACATATATTGGGAGGGAAATTCAAAAGTTTTTGGTCGAATGTGTCATATTACAGATTTTGTAAAATTTAATTCTTTTTAATGTTTATCTGAAAATATGTTTAATTTGAAGTTTCGGTACAAGTTAAAATTAATAAATACTGAAAAAATTTAGGGGGGGATTTCCCTCATTTGCTCCCCGTTGATCCGCACCTGATTACATGTTAAAAATATTCTAACATCCTTACATACTTCAGAATTTTTTGACTGGCACTAGATCACAAAGTGCCTTTTCAGGTATGCCCATTTTGAAAGACTGGAAGATGATTGTCACTGGACAGGCTCCTCTCCATCTCCACATTACATGATATCACAGGAGCATTTTTAAAGGTGACAACGTCACTGTTCAGTAGCTTTTCATTGTTTTCAAATGTTGCGGCATTCCCAAAAAGTCACTAATTGTGTTCCTAGTAGAATATCCAAGATTCCTCTGGAGGTTGTTCACTTTGTCAGCCACGTGATCACGAGCTCGACCCAACTCACACTCACATGTTGCGCAAAATCCAGGTTAACACACAATTGAAGTCCAGCATCTTCCAGTTGTATGATGACTTTTGATGTCACTGGAAAGTTGACGTTGATGTACCATAAGTTTCCTAGCACGGTATCTGTAAGGACCTCTTGCACAGCAACACCATCATCTCACACAAGTTCGTAAAGAACAATTATACTTACTATTGAAGATAAGACCTGTCAGCTCAAATATTAGCTTTTGCTGTTATTTCCAACACCTCTCTTCCCACAGCTGCTGTGTTTAGAGATATTACTGTCTTGTAGCACATGAAACCATTCTTAAGCACTAACTTTAACATCACATAGTTTACATAATAATATTTTCCCGTCGGTGCAGACGAACTGGTTTCCAAAAATCACAGATAAAATCTTGAAGCTTCATTTAATTCAAGGTTCTGACCTTTAGTAGATTTTACCACCCTAAGATAGTGTTCAAACTGAATAGTGTGACTACAAGTGCAGCGTTTACATTGTATAACTCTAAGTGTAACTTAAAAAGGGTTTTGTCAACCCAGTGCAACAATGGGTTATGCCAGAGAACCGAATAGTAATGCTATGCAACTTGCCTACGTTTTTAATAGTTTTGTAGTGAAATTGTTGTGTTTATTTGAGATACTATCTCTTAAAACATTGCCATGTGAAACACATTTTAATTTTTACTTTCCCCCACCTACTAAGGTAAGAAAAGAAAGTATTGTAATAATTGTGCGCTGCGCAATGGCCTATTTTCGAACTTTCAACATAAAAACTCTTATTGCCTGGCCTTGGTAATGAAAAATTGGTTAAATCTAGTTGCTAAATATAGAAAAATAAATCTCCCAATATGTGGTGTAACCAAAATCCATGTTTTGTGCGTCCTTCATACCGAAAAATCGATTGATGGCAAAACGTCTGACTGGCCGGCCGGCCGTCTGTGCACAAGGCTAGCGCATAAACCATTCAACCCATTTTCTCCAAAATTGATATTCCCCAATCGTTCTGGCTAGTATCGTGGCCCCTGGAATTTGAAACCGATGTTTGAATTTTGGGGGGTACTTAATGTGAAGGCCCCCGGACATTTTCAAAATTTTAAACAAATTGCACCAAATACTTTTATTAAATTTTCTTGTTGAATAGTGCGAAGGATAATTAAGAGAATGGTGCAAGTCTCAGTTTTGTTGAGGTTACTGAGTTTTCGGAAATTGCAACAAAAAAATTTAAAACTACAAGAGTCATTTTTAAGTAAGAACCATTTTAAAGTGGAGTAACAGAAACTTTATTTATGAACATAAATTGTATCAAAACTTATGTATGAACATATTTTTACAAAGTCACCAAGAATATCTAAGTGTTTGTTAAGTCGTGGCACTAGCTTTTGGATCCTCGCATCATAGATATCTGCCGCCCGAGTATTTAACCAGTTAGTAACAATTTCCTTCAACACGTTATTATTTTCAAATCACTTTCCTCCAAGATATTCTTTGAGTTTAGGAAAAACATGAAAGTTTGATGGTGCCAGGTCAGAGATGTGGGGGGGATGGTCCAGTAGTTCCCATCGAAAGTCGTCCAGTTGCGTCTTTGTCGTTGCTTCAGTGTGAGGCCGAGCGTTATCGTGAAGCAGCACGACGCCGCTAGACTAGACCCCCCCCCCCTGGCGGTTTTGAATAGCACGCATAAGCTTGGTTAGTGTTTCGCAATGTCATCATTTACGGTCATTCCTCTTGGTAGAAAGTCAATCGGAAGAACGCCTTTCCCAAAAGACCGTGGCCATGATTTTTCATGTTGAAGGTTCTTGTTTGAATTTTTGCGGTTTCGTCAGTGAATTTGAGTGATGCCCTTTACTGAATTGTGGTTTAGTCTCTGGAGTGTAGTATGCTAACCACGTTTCATCACTGGTAACAATACGATTCAAGAACTCATCACCACTTACCGTAGCACTCCAAAAATGACAAAGAATGTGCCAAACGCGTGTGTAATCTTCTGGCATCACTTTTGGCACACGCATTTTTGTAATGAATTTTGTCGGAAACAATGTGATAAACAACCGATCTTGAAAGTTGTGGAAATTTCTCATGGAGCTCGTCAATCGTAAAGCGCCGGTTTTGGCGAATTTTTAATCAACTTTTTTTGTCGAGTCTTCATCAATGACAATTGGACGCCCAGATCGTTCATCATGAACAATTGTTCTTCCTTCATTGAAAATCCTACACCATTTACGCACATTTCTGTCATTCATTAAACCTTCACCATAGACTTCAACAAGCTGTCGGTGATTTCGGAGGGACGAACTTGTTTTGCGTTTAAAATCTGTATAACTTAGCGCACTTCACAATCGACGAGTTTATTGATTAACATGGCCACAAACAAAGCACTGTTACGATAGAATCAACAGTGGCAGACATAAAGTCATATGGCTGCGTGGTTGGGGACTGGGTACGAGTGGCTGGCCTTAAGCGAGCGTCACGTGACAGCCTGCGAGCCTCACGTGATGCGCAAAAGGTTTCTAGTTCAAAAATGACTTTCGTACAAAATTGAAGATAGATATTTTTGCCTCAGGCAAAGTCTGTTGCACAAAAATAGCTCTTTAAAAAGTAGCATGTACAATTTTTTAAAAAAAGGTAGTTTTTGCGTAATTTGCGTTTGAAATTATCGCAATTTTTTTTAAAAAATCCGCTTCAATTTTTTTCCTGTAAATTGTCTATACTTGTGTAGTAAGTGTCGTTAAAAAATTTGATGCTTTTCGGGGATTGCTAGGTTTTTAAAAGACTGCAAATATTTTTTCAACTACAAAATTGAACATAAAGTTTTTTGCCTCAGACAAACTGTTGTACAAAATTATCTCTTTAAAAAAGGTTATGAACAATTTATTTAAAAAAATAGTTTTTTGCGTAAAATGCGTTTGCAATTTAGGATTTTTTGCAACCGCATGTGAAGCTAATCCCATTTTCAGATATTGCTCGGCTTTTTCAAAAATTGCAAAAAAAAAAATCAAAACTACAAATTTGAAGATAGAGGTTTTTTGCCTTTGACAAAGTCTGTTATACAAAATTAGCTCGTTAAAAAAGGTAATATATATTTTTTTGTAAATGTTAGTGATTTTTGCTTAACTTCTGTTTGAAATTAATAAAGCATTATTAGCGTATCGTTGTACATAACAATAACATTATAATATTGCGAGAAACTATGTGTTGTTGTAGCACCATTAGTTACTTTACGTACTATATGTGCGTAAATACGGACAATAGAGAAAGTTACGTAGTGCTGCGGAAAATCGATTTCGAGATTTCAACGGTAATACATATTTGGGGGTCCCCAGATACCGAAAAAGTGTTTTGTTTTTTTGAAAACGTCCGTTTCTCCGTCGTCTGTCTCTCCGTCTGTCCCTCCGTTTGTCCCTCCGTTTGTCCCTCCGTTTGTCCCTCCGTCTGTCCCTCCGTCTGTCCCTCCGTCTGTCCCTCCGTCTGTCCCTCCGTCTGTCCCTCCGTCTGTCCCTCAGTCTGTCCCTCAGTCTGTCCCTCAGTCTGTCCCTCAGTCTGTCCCACCGTCTGTCTCCGTCTGTGAACACCTCTAACGGCTAAACAATGCGTAGGATTGTTTCCAAATTGAGGAAACCCCTGTCCATCTGGCTCGAGTCGAATCTCTATGATATTGAAAATCATTAATTATTTTTGAGGATACTTTACATCAAGCCCCTCAGACATTTTCAAAATTTTCTCAAAAATTACTCCACATTTTTTCTTAAAATTGTATGTAAGAAACGGGAAATTCCTCTTATCAATGCGGCAAAAATCCAATTTTTATGGTAAACTCTAAATGTTCGAAAACTGCAAAAGACTGAATTTTTTTCGGCGTCTTCCTACAACTACAATATAGAAGATGAGTTTTTTCCTTCAAATGAAATTTATTCTCCATAGTCAGTTCTTTCACTAAGGGTACGTATTTTTTTTAAATTTGTGGTAGATTTTGCGTAATATTGTGAGCACAATGTGCAATTAAAACAAAAAGAAACACAAAAATAAGATTTACTAAAAAACGGCTCCAATTTTTTTCTTTAAACTTTTGATAGGGATAATGCTAAATGTACTCAATAAGATGGCATAAATGACACGTTGCTATTTCATTTGTTTTTTCAAAAATTAAAAAAATGTAATATTTTGGTCTTGTCCGTCATGTAGTTAATATTTATATTAGCGGTAATTTGTTCTCATGTATATTTATGAGTACATGTGCTTTAAATAATGTCAGATTAAGTTTCTCGAAAACTCGACAGTTTTCTGTGGAAATTAGATCAAAATTTCATATTTTTAAGAATGCTGAAACGCCACATTCTCAAAAATGGCTCCAAATTTTTTCTTCACTTTTCCAACAGATAGTGCTTGTTGTACAAAGTTAATTTTTCTGTACCATTTTGTTTTTTCAAAAAATACACAGACGTAAGTTTTTTAAATATCTCTCACGTCTTTATTATGCACGTTTCCCGCGTCTTGTGAACACTATTGCATATGTGGCTAAAAGTGCTTGAAATGATTTCAAATGAAGTTTTTCGAAAACTCAATAGTTTTCTGTGGAAAGAGATTCAAATTTCACATTTACAGTAATGCTAAAACACCATTTTTTTTAAAACGGCTGGAATTTTTCAATGAAAAGTTTCATATAGGACGAAGTTCTGCTCATCTTTAATATTTTAAAGTAATAATTCAATTTTACTATTAGGAAACAAAAAAATTAAGAATGTTTTTAAAAAATATACTTTGTCCGGTGATAAATGGCTGCCAAGAAAATGTGGCAAGCCCGAATAGCAAGCTGAGACCAAAGGAAATAGATAACTAATACGGAAAGTCTGCGCCATTCTGTGGCACCACTAGTTGTACATTACAATACCTGAATTCATGTATAAACTGGTGCCAAATTCACCGTACAGCTCACAAAAAAATTGACTTGTCATTAAAATCTGGCCCCTATTTACAAGTGTAATATAATATTAGATTTTTTAAATGATTCATTTTGAATATCATTCTGCATTATCCTCTAAACAGTAAAGTGCGAACGGGGTCAATTGCTGTGGAGGATGGAGACAGGAAGACTGTTGACCTCACTGCTGACGAGACAGCATCAAATATTGAAAGTGAACTATTGGACGCAAATAATGTTGATGTCTTTAGAGGGTCTGCTAGTCACAAGTACGTGTCAGTGTCTCCTTATCATTGCTCTCAGTTTGAGCTGTCTACTTTCCACCATGTTCACCAAGAAGTGGTGTTATTAAGAGTAAGTAACTATTACCTGTATGTTAAAGCATCTCGACACCCTCCAGAATTACATTTTGGAGCTCCTGCCTTGAATATTGTGTGTTTTTATAAAATATTATGTTATTTTCACTTTTTATACCTTTCTAACCTACATATTTGAATACAGTATTAATTCTAATATAAGTGTAATTGATTTTTTCTGAATTGTTTGTGCCTTTACACTATTTTTAAATGAAGTTATTTTGAAATTTATTTATAATAAATAATAATTTAAATTTTTTTTTCTCTTTTTCTCGTTCTGGATATAAACATAAAGCATATGATCATCAGAAGTGATAGTAGCACATTGACATACACACAATCTACTTCTCTCACCAATATTCACGTACATAAAATGTAGTAAAGTGTGGATTCGCACAAGTTTTCTTTTTGCTTTTCCTTTATTTAAAAAAATAATGTAGAACAATTAAGTGTACCTCAAATAAAATTTCTGGAAAACTTCTTTCATCTAAATTTTTGAAAAACTCTTTATTGTATTTATATGATTTTTGTATGTTTTAGCAAATAACTCAAAACTTACAAGAGTACTTTAATAAGGAATTTAAAAAAATGTTGGAAATTAAAGAAAAAGAATTAGGTTTATTGGCAGAGAAAAATAATCGGCGGCGACATCTTCTTTCTGAGTTGAATATTTCTGGTATTCCAGTGGATGATGTGGAATGGGATCCTTTAGAGGAACCAGAGAGATTAATGATTGTAAAGGAAAATGAGGTTAGTCCTCTTTAATATCAAATAGCAGTATACAAATTTAAATATATTTCTTGAATAATTGAACAGAATATTACATGATCAAAATTGAATATAATATAATTGATAATATTAATAAATATGAATATTGTATATAAGTCATTAAGAAAGAAGAAAAACAAATTAGAACATATTTTACATCTTACTAGTTAATTTATATTTCACTACATATCATGATGCAGAGTGTACAAGAATATATGTATTACGTAAATGTCACCAGCATTTTTTTAAACAATATGGCTCATGTACCATTTTAAAAAATATAATATAACCTGATAATCACACATAACCTTACCTTGGATACATAAAAGATTTTTCCCATTTCAAAATCTGGGGGATAAAATAAAAAAGTGTGAGATTTTTTGAGTGTGTTTTTTTTATTTACACCAGATTATAATTTACTTTTTATTTTGATTTACAAAAAACAAAATCATTGTAGTGCAACCACAACTTACATATTTCATTTTGTTATTGTATTCATTTATAATGCAGATGTTTTGTTTAAAATCTACACTTCTAAGGTAAGACACAATGTTATCCTTTTTAAATAAACAATATATTGGGAATAAAATTAAAAACAAAAATCATCACCATCATTCCTATGTCGTGTTAACTGTGGTGGACTATACTAGCCAGTTGCAAAACATCGTTCGACTTGGAATCAACAAATACATAATTCCATCTTTCAATTATTCTAAAAGTGTATTATAAAATAATTATTAAATATGTATGAATAATAATGGTACAATTATTTCTGATGAGACTTTGATTTTAACAGGTTAGTGTTCCACCCTACTTAACAAAGAGCGAGGAGGAACTTAGAGCTCGAAAAGCTGCAGAAGCTGAAGCACTACGACTTGCACTGCTTGCAGATGACTTTCGGGAACGAGCATTAATTACTATGATGCATGGAGTATTGGAGCTGCGCTGGGAGGATAAAATCAAGAAGGATGTTCCGAAACCAAAGTGCTTGGTAATTTTTCCTATACCTCTCCATTTTGTGGAATAGTGTACTCAATAATGTGCAGAATATAGTTGAAGACAGTGACGTAGAATTGGTGCAGCTTCGTGTACTATTGCTGCTCTGCTTTCCTTACAAAATATTAATTATAAGTCAAACAAAATTGAAACATGCTACAATTTTTTTCTCCTCCTAAGCCACATCATGTTCAGTTATTATTTCTCAAAGCCTTTCATCAGGTTTTTTTTTCTATATACTATAAGGTACCTAGGATTTCAGCCTTCGAAAACCCTTCATCCTTAACCAGGTTTCCGTTTCGAAAGTCCATTTTGCAAACTCCCTTACTGCTGGAGCTACCATTAGGGCTATAGCTCTACAACTTAGAAAAAAACCTGGATTGCGCATGCGCGAAAAGTAATAGAGAGGAAGGTTTCCTTTCTTAGAATCCCAACTTCCCCGCCTGAGAAGCCGCCTCAACCTCGGCTTTAGCTACCAGAATCGGCCGAGCCCGACCCCCAGAGTGTTGAAGACTCCTGTCTCAGTCCTGCCAAGTCGTACGGCTTTTAGAGATGAGAAATGCCATGTCGAGAGAAGTGGCATTCCTTCCCTCATCCTCACGTACATTCGCCCAAAAGGAACTTTTTTTGTTCGGGAGTCAGTTTGTGAGCGCCTCCTGCTATGCGTAGGTTTAGATCTCCAATTGGTTGCTTTGCGGCATTTTCGACTTTTTACATTTATGTTGATAATGCTTAGACTTCAACACCCGCGATTGTATCAGGGCTACCATTCCGAGGTCAGGCTCGTGTGATAGTGTATCGAGTGGCACTGTAATTTCGGCATATGAAAATATCTTACAATATAACAAATGCCTACGTTGTAAAAATCACCAGCGATGCGACAATCATTTTGGAATCATCTGTGAAGAAAATGTGTTAAGGAAGGTTAGGAAAGTCAAACAAGGGTCAACAGCAAACCTGACTGCAAGCGCGGATCAGTTATTGTTGCAGGCGGTCCCTACATTCAACAGAGCTCCCTCGGGAGTAGTGGGGGGGGGGGGGATGGCTTCGCCACGTCTTCTGAGGTAAGCGACGCCATGATGTATTTCACTTTCTCGCAACGGCGAATTTTCAGCTTAAAACTCTTATAACAGAACCCCGGTAACGAAGGAGTGGATAAATCCGTTTGCTAAGTTCAGAAGCAAAAATCTCTAACACTTGGTTTAGCCATAATCCATGTTTTATGGGTCCTTTATACCGAAAAATCGATCAACGACAAAACGTGTCGCTCCGTCTATGAACAACGGTAGCGGTTAAACCGTTCATCTGATTTTCTTTCCCAATATTGATATTCCCCAACCTATCTAGTAGATGGAATTTGAAACCGATATTTTAATTTTGGGAGATACTTTACATGAAGCCTCTGAGACATTTTCAAACTTTAAAAAAAATGGCGCCATTGAGTTTCTTTAAATTTTTTGTTGGATAGTCTGATGACCGTTTGAGAGAATGGCGCAGATCTGAAAATGGTTGAAAACCCTGACTTTTGGAAAATTGAAAAAAATCAAAATTTTTTCGGTGTCTTCCTACAACTACAATTATGAAGTTTTTTTTTCCCCTAAATGAAATGTATTCATCAAAAACAGATCTTCAAATAAGATGATGTAAAATTGTTCAACAGGATCTTTTGAAAATATGAGGGTTTTTTTTTTTTTTGGAGTAATTGTCGTTCAAAATTAGTCGCCCGCTCTGAAATTCCTGCGCTTCATGATCTTAATTTTAGAGGTGTTTTGAGGCAGCTGGATACTGCGTAAGTTAGAATGTGTCTGTTATTTCTTTGTTCGTTTTGTAGATTGGAGATTAGGTTATACGTTTTCAAATAAATCTTTTGTAAATTATTTAAAATCTATTGAAATAAATATGAAATAAAGATTGCAAGCCTTCAGTCGCCCGCTTCCAATTTACGCAGCTAGATGCTACGTAAGTTAGAATTTGTTTATTATTTCATATTTCATTTTGTTATTAGGCTTTTGTTTAAATTTTGAAAATGTCCGGGGACCTTTATGTTAAGTACCCCTCCCCCCAAAAATTGAAATAAAGGTTTCAAATTCCAAGGACCGCGATACCACACAGAAAGATTGGGGAATATCCATTTTGGAGAAAATCGGCTGAACGGTTTATGTGTCAGTGATGTGCACAAACAGACAGACGTAGAGACGTTTCTTGCCGACAACCGATTTTTCGTATGAAGGACGCATCAAACATGGATTCTGGGACACCACGTGTTAGAGATCACTTTTTTTCTATATTTAACAATTGAATTTATCCAAGTTTTGTGTCGAAAATTCGCCTTTTTCCGATGCACTATTACAATACTTATTCTTCTTATGTTAGTAAGTGCAAGAAAGTAAAAAATAATGAATAAACAAACGAAGAAAAAAATCAATGAATAAACGAATGCCCAGAGAGTCGGGCGGACTGAGGGACGGACGGACGGGCGGACGGATTGTTTGTGGGTGCGAACCCGATCGAACCCGTAAATTTTTATTTATTTTTTATTACTTTTTTTTAATCCTTCGTACGCCTTCATTCCAAGGGAAGTAAAACCGACCGTCTCGTGTAAATTTACTGCATGTAAAAGATAAAGTCTAAAAGAAGCCTCCGAGCTAAATTCATATCGCCTATTAAATCACCTGAGTGATACATTCGTTCTTCGCTAGATGGTGAAAGGAACGTAGCGAAATTTACCTCAGACGGATGGGCGGGGCTGAAGGCATGAACCAAATTGAACAGAGGGAGGGAGAAATGGACGGTTTGATTGATGGTGTTTCCGGGTGCGTCAAGGGTGTGTTCAGTGGTCCCGTAAATGTAGTGCATGTTTTATCACGTGAAGTGGTGATGTTCTTCCCCCACTAGATGGTCAGATCTAGTGCCAATCTACTTGTTTACTCCCAGACATGTTCCAGACATGTTCCAGACGTTGTTCCTACACGTTTCCCTACCCAGATATCTCCCACCAAAGAGACACCGCCCGAGATAGAACAAGTTCAAAGTTCCCGATTGATCTCTCGACGTGTGTGGTAGTTTAGTGCATGTAAGTGTAAGTTGAAGTAGGGAGCGAGGATAGGAGAAGGAAAAGGAAGGATAGATCGTGGGAGATCCGGCACTTGCCTGGTGTTGATCTGAAAACCACGATTAGAGAAGCTGGTTGCTAGAATTATCTTCTAGGCAGCGGCTGAATTCAGCCTAGTTTTCTAGCTAGTGTCGAAAATCCTGGCACCGTCGGGACTCAAACCCATGTCCTGAGCCACCTCAACCGGTATGGAAAGAGATGTGTAGGGTTCGAGTGATGGATTGCTGGAGGAGGGATGGTGTGAGGGATACTCGCAGGAGGGAGGAATAGGTGGTGATTGGGAAAGAGAAAGGGAGGGCTGAATGAAATATCAGATGAGTAAAATAACGTATATCGATGACAGGTATTATCGATTTTAAAACAATTAAATTACACTTACTCCATAAAAGGAAACTTTTTTCACATGACATATAACACACGTTTCGTGACCACATCGGTCACATCTTCAGGTGAAAAGACCATAGCAATCCACTTCTGTGATACATCGCCAACAAATGAAGGTTTGGAACAAATAAACAGTTGGGCTTGTACAGCAGGAGCAGGAGACGACCATGAAGAAAGCATAGTTCGAACGGGTACTGCCCCAAAATTTCTTCAAATTCTCGGGAATTTCTGACATCGTGAAAAAATACCATATAATTCATAATTGCTGACACTACCCATGTTCTTTAATGAATTTGAACTTCAATTTGAGTTTTGTGTTTAATAAATAGTTACAATGTTCAGTTCAATTCTTTACTAATATCTAGATAAAAATAATTTACCATATTAAAATATCTACCCATTAACAAATATCTTATTTCTTTTATTCAAACTAATTTAAATTATCTTTTAAAGCTATCTAATTTACTATTTTTTTAAAACATGTGTTTAGAAAAATTAGAAATTTTGAAAGATTAATAAAAAGAGCATGATGACTTATATTGTAGCTGGAAAAACTTCCAGAGGAATGGAATGAGGAAGAAATACGTCTAGTTAGAGACTACGATCAAAAAGTGCTTAATCTCATGGATCAGAGGAGATTATATCGCAAGATTTGTGGGAAAGAATATGAAGAAATCTTACAAAATCAAAAGGTAAGTGTCTCACTGAAAAGTACTTGGAAATCAATTTCAGAATTTAATTATATATTACTCCATTATTTATAATATCCATTAGAACCATGCTTTAAGTTTCAGTCTCCATATGAAATTTCAAAACTTAAGATTCTATTATGTTTATTGTATAATGGTAAATATTGTATGTTCCAGATCGTTGATAAGAATGTAATTGAAAATGGGTAAACATTTTACTATAAAAGATTATTACTAGAAATGAAAAGAAATTATGAAAGGCAATTAATTTTTTTCCACATTAAAAATTGTCTTAACTGTTATTAATTGAAAACTATATCGTACTAAAATCTCTTTACTCCTGTAATATTAGGAGATGCAGAGCCCTGGATTCCTCTAACAAAGATTATAATACATTTCACAAATTCTAGAGAAAAGTTATTAGGAAATGTATAAATTCTATAACAAAACAAACTGAATAGGGAAGACAGTTTTGTTCAATTTTTTCCGGTTTACAGGGCTGTGATATTTACAATGGGTGGGAGAGGAAAAGGCACAAAAACATGCCCAATGGGTTGTGTTTAAGGAAAAGGCCTAAAATAGGTTTGCTAATTAGCTGGCCAAAAATATGTTAAGTTACTATTTTTGTAAAGGAAGCCTACACGGCAGTGTTCCCGCAGCCCTCTCGCTGCTTCTAGAAATGGGAGTCATAAAGACGCGCCCACGTCAGGTCAACAAAGAGTCGACAGCTCCCTGAAGACTCGCGAAGCTAAGTTAACAACCGTTGAGACCCATGCGCACGGCAAAAGCCATCTTGACCCACTTCCAAGACAGGCATGTGCAGGAGACGAAGAAAGAATGCGGCGAATGGCCAATCAAACGCAACAAATCGGTGGAAAGTTCGAGAAAATAGGCCACGAGAAACGACGGCAGCGAGTCCGGAGATTAGGCGTCAACGCGAGCCCGGCGTTGCGGAGCTGCTAAAATTCAATTGGGTGAGAGATACAATTAATATGGGAAAGAGACTTTGCGCGGGAAAGCAGGCTCATGAGTGGAAGCACGTCGCTGAGAGCGACAAATAGAATTTCGACATCACGTAGAAGAGACAGAATTCAGACATCGAGTGGCAGAGAAAAAATGCACCAGTGGCCTTGAGCGAAACAGACGCAGTATTGGCTTTGAGGAGAGTCGGCAAAATTAATTTGTAGCATATGAGAATTTGCATAAACAAGACTGTAGAGAGACTTTCATCTTCACTCACTAGTTCAACTTGGCCGACAATTTTTTGCCGCCAACTGATATTCGCAAACATTACGTCATCATCACACAAGCTTCAACGCCGACACCGGGAGAACAATAAATAGTCTCTTCACAGCCCATAGGGACCTGGCCGCTTGTTAGCGCTGCCCAGACACCGCCCAGCCGAGCCTTCGCCCTCCAGGGTTAACGACGTCTCCGCCACTGCAGCCCCTATACTCTCTGGCAGCCCCTTTCCGCTGTACGAAGAACGCGCCGGCAGTCATTGCGTTCATTGGGCGTTACCTTCGTCTTTTGACAACAACCGATTCACGGCCTCATCATCAACTGTGAGTAGAATAACGATATTGTTATTACAAGACATGCATTACGACAGGTGTTGTGAACATGTTAACATGTGTTACTCCCCGACATAACTTTTTACTCTAAAAAGAAAACAACTAAGTAACAGAAATTACATCGATGGTGAACAAACGATATTCTTGCAAGATCTAAGAATCTTACCTTTGAGTTAAGGTATAAAAAACACTATGAAGTTGAGATACTACGCTTTTCTGATCTTCACGCAAGTATTCAAGACAAAAAAGAGAGTGAATAAATATCTGAAGAGCGGATTGATAAACGTATTGAAATAATAAAGCTCGTGCGTGAGAAAATATCTAACACGACGCGCCGCATATCAGCTCCTTCTCATATTGTTTCTCCTCTCAGAACTGAAAAGAACGATGAACGAATACAGAGTTGAATCGTGCGGGTAGGCATTGCTTGAGCATTATCTCCGTATGTTGGAGGATATCAATACTCTTTAAATAAAACAATAATAATTATATTTTTCTAACAGCGAGAGTAACGGCGGGTTAAAAGACGAACAGGTGCAACGCCGTGACATTCCTAAGTCCCTACTAGACCTTATCGCAGTGGACAGTGCCTTTTAAAGCCGCGGAGTAGATGGCGCGTCCGGGCAATACCTTGTATGAGGTAAAAGTGGGGGCCATTTCATCACTCTGCCATGACGTCACCTAGCGTCCGTCATCCGTGAAATGTTAATCACGGCTTCTACGACCCTCCATTCCTAAAGTCCCTTATCGCCTACTTGATTACCCTTCTCGGTGTTGCAATATTCTTTCCACCAATATATAAGGTCCGAAGGTGTATATAATAGATTTAAGATTAACATTTTAAAATTATATAAATGAAAGTAGCTTTAATTTATTTTAGGAGAGTATGTTGAAATTTGACAAAAGGCTTCAACAACTTTTACTTCTAAAGATGGAAATCCAGTCTTGTATAGATCAAGAAAATCTTAAAATTCTTAGAGGCCGAATGAAGATACATGAACGCATGAAATTGGAAAATCAAGAACATTCTATATTGTATGTATATATTTAGACTTCTCAACTAATAATGTAAAAGAATTAATTCAATAGTTTTCCCTTTAATAAAAAAAATGAATGGCAAACAATTACATATTCATCTACTTTTAACATCTATAAAATTAAATAATAGATTTTTTAAATAATAAATTTTTATGGTAATCTGCATCTTCAATTCAATTTACTTTATTATATTTGTATTCATTTTATTTTTGTTATTTCCTTAAGCAGAGCTGTGAAATTGTGATCACGTACATATGAGAAAAACCATCATCACCCCTGTTTTGTAGCAACCATGCCCAATATTCAAATGATCAGTGATAATTCAAAGTGGAGTTTTACCCTCCTTACATTACTAATTTAATTTTAAAAATAAATCGTAGCCATAAACAAGTATCTTATTTTTAATTTCCTGTTTCCTTGGATTAATTTTTTTTCAGGAAAGAAATAGAAAATACTGATAAAGAAATTAATGAACTACAAGCAGAAATCCATAATCTGCTTGAAGCTAAAAGAAACTGCCGCCATGAATATGACTCCCTTCTATTCCGAGAAAGAAATTTTGATAAAAGTTTCAAAAAGGAATTTCGTGACTATCATGGTCCTATTGCTAGTCATCTATACAAACTATACAAGTGAGTTATTTACAATTTATTCTTGTAAGAATATGATTTGTAGAGGTTTATTAGGACTTACATTGAAGAATAATATAAATAGGCCATAGGGTTCTTTCAAATTTTGAATGGATTTACTATAGAAATATTCTACCAACTGTTAACAATATTTTTAAATTAGGCCTTATATAGTAAAAACTTATAAATTAATTATCTGATGATGAATTATCCTAAAAATTTTGAAAAATTATTTTTATCAGGTAGATATATGTTAATTTTGTCATTTAGACACTATTAAATTAAGTTTCTTGAGTTATTAATTTTTATTCTCAGTAACCTTTCGATGTTTTCTTCACTTGCTTCTTCTCTTGAGGATGGTGAGCAGATAATTACATCAATTTAAAAAAAATCCAAATTCCTAATTCAAGATTTGCTAAGCTTATCCAATAATTTTAATTCAACACAATAGGCGCAGACCAAAAGTTCACCAAAAAGCACAGATGTCAGTATCTCTTCTTGAGGAACTCTCCCGATGTACCATGCAGCCAGGAGAATTACCCTCTTATCTCCCATCTGATTGCCTCGACTTTCTAAATGCCCTTGAAGATTTGGATCAGCATTCACACGTCCCACATGGTGCCTCGGAAGCAGCATGGAACTCGCTTTGCAAACTCCGCCGGAGCAAAATAGAATGTGAATTGAAGGTATGACTTATTTTTACATGGTAGGTACTGTGGCATTACATTTTATGTTATTGGAGACTAGGAAAAGAAGGAATATTTGCTAAGGACATACTGACTTGCAGTTATCTTTCTAGTTTTGAAGTCTCTTGTTCAAGTGTCTATAGCTAAAAGCATTAGATCTCTGTTGATAACTTCTTATTGAAAGTCATCATCTACGATACGAGTGCTCGCTATTCCTATCTGTACAGTAATCCTGGAATTTTACACTTCTACATGTTCCTATTCTCTCCATTTTTTCTTATCTCTTCCAATATCTTGTCCTGTGGATGAAATAATATCAATATATAATATTCTGTATTATTTGTTGTTGCTTTTTGCTCTTCTTTATATCAATATTCCTTTGTCCAAATGGGTATTTCCTGAGTTACAGAGGGGGAATCTTATTTCTACTTCTGCCTTTCTTTAGGTTTGAAATTAATGTTGAATTATTGTTTCTTGAATCATCCCTCTCAAATTATTTCTTAATTATTTCATTGCACGTATTATATTTCTGAATTTTATTTTCTGGATCTCTTACATTTTGTCCATGTTTGTAAGTGTTCACCTAGGGAGTCCAAAATTTTGAAAGAGACCTCATAACATTATTGTTACATTAACACATTCAATTGTACCTCTCTGGGTTTTTTTCTTATACTTCAGGTCATCTGATTTTCTTCATTTTTTATAGTGTATTCTGTTTGTAGATTCTTATACTAATAGGGCATGCCATGAGTTACTGAATATTAATGGATTTTTAAATGAATTGAAGTATAAAGTGATTTGGGAAGACTTTTGGATGACGTATAATGAATGTGAAGTGATAATTACAACCAATGAAGGGATATACTCTACATAAAATTGAGGAATAAAATTATTGTCGAAATGAAAAATTAACTTAATGACAGTTGGATAGATAATCCAAATAAAATGATCCATTTGAAACTAATAAATGACACTTATAATCATTATTAAAAATTGTTGCTCCAGATCAAAGCCATGGCACTACAGTTGGCTGAATGTGACTCAACAATCAATGTATTTAACAAGACACTATCTATACTCAGAGACAAATTGATAATGTTTAACAAGAACCTGAAGGACATCAGAGAGGAAAAACTTGAAGTTATTCACAATGTGCAGGCAAGCATCAACATATTTGCTTAGAAGGGTTTGAACTTTATTGATGGTTTACATATGATTATCAGCATAAAGTAATCACTTAATTTACTTTAGCATTGTCCCGTTGTTTAGAATTTTATTAAGATTTTTGATTATTGAAAAACTTCCTCTTCAAAATGTTTACATTTCTAAAGGATTAATATAAGTATCTTAAAATTTTACAACTCAACTTTTGAAAAACTCATTTTCAACTGATCAACTTACTGTGAAAAAGAGTAATGAAAATATTTGATATTTCTTGTGTACAGCTTCAGTTGGTTATGAAACAAGGAATTGTTGAAATTGAAGATACAAGTGACTTTGGCAATTTTACAGATTGTGTTCTTATTAATCGTTCTGTGGTTGAACAGATTAATTCTCTAATACTGGTGAGTTTTATTTTATGATATTTCAAATATTGCAATAAAGAAGTTCTAGTAAGGACCCATTGATATTTAACCATTTACTATATAATACTTCGTTAATTATGTATATATATATGAAACAAGAAATAATTTCCATTACCTAATATGATAATTACAGAGTTTTTGTGAGCAGTGCTTCACAGCTTGCATTTTATTTAATTTCTTGCTTATAGGAAGCTGGAGACAAGAAGCTGAAAGCAATGCAAAAAGTTACAAATTTTCATCGTGTTATAATGTGCAAAGAATGGGAACACAAGAAATTGAGAATGATAATAGAAGATTTGAAAGATAAATTAAATTATATAGAAAATGTCAGGGTATTCAATCTCGTTATGTTATTATTGTTGCCTATTTACTGTGATCACCCCACCCTCTTCTACTTCACAAATACTTCTAACTTGGATAGATAAAGTATTATATTTCCTCACAAATAAGTAGAGAGGATTTAGAGACCAACATAATCATTGATATCCGAGGAAAAGAAAATTATTGAGAACTCTAGAAAAAATTAGAAGTTTCATGTCTTTTTTAGCACATATTCTAATTTATTGCATTTTCACATCACATGTGGTACTCCATTTAACATATGTGTGAATTACCATATCTAAAAAATCCATTTATTTCAATAACTTTAATTTATTTCGGTTTTTAAAAATAATTAGTTAATATTTTAATGTTTTAGTATTAAAGGAAGTATTTCAACAAATGTTGAAAATATATTTCAATGTTACGAAACACTAAACGATTACCCCCCTCCTCTAAATAACGACGCGTAACGCTTCCCTCCCCACTCCCCCACGTTAGCGTTACGAAATTTATTGACGGCTCATGTATACAATTTCTGAAATCAATTGTTTGTTCCAGCTAACACGTGACTTACAGAACCTATTAAAAATGAAAGCATCTGGGATGGCTGTAGACTCAGGCAAGGAAAATATGGACAGACAAATAATAGCTTACAAGCAGGTGAGAAAACTTTTGTTGCCATCTGCGGAAGTAATAACATAATGAGAAATTAATATCTTTAATTGTGATTACTGACAAGTTCATCCAACATCTAATAATACAACCATAAAGTATTATAGAATGTGGCTCAATTAGGGAATTACGGTAATCGACTTTAATTACTCCAGCACTATTATTTTTTGTTCAACACATTACAGAATTTCAATATCCCCCCCCCCAGTAATAAACAGATAGTTTACGAACTCATAATATTAAAATTGTTGTAGAAATAATAGGTTGCTGGTTGGTTATACACAACTACACATTTACACATAAATGTTGGACTTTCGAAACGCGAGTAGCAGTTGTTACTATTGGACATTCGGAACGCGATGCCGCTTCAAGAAACAAGTTTCAAACGGATGGAACGATTGGCAAGAGGAAGGCCCGTCTAGTTGCCCAGCGTTTTAGCCAGAAACCGGGGATCCATTTTATAGATGCCTTCGCACCAATAGCCAGAGTCAGTCATATTCGCCCTCCCGCTTTACTTGCGCCTCGGTACAACATGAAAATCAAACAGTTCGATGTGGAGAGTGCCTACCTCGACGGACATCTTGAAGAGATACTCATGGAACCACCGAGGAATCTGGACGAAGTTCTACGGTATAATCAGCGACGGACGACACAACGACGTCTGTCGAAAGGCAAAAGAGATGCTGAAGAATGTGCTGAAAGGGGATAAGGTGTGTCTAGTAAAGAAATATCTCTACTACTAGCGCCCGGACGGGAGGAGCTGGCACGACACCTTGAAGACACTCGGCGCCACTCTGTGCTGTTGTAGTTCTACTAGTTACTTTGTCATATATGTACGTAAATACCGAATATAGAGAAAGTTATGTAATGCTGCGGAAAATTGATTTCGAGATTTTAACGGAAATAAGCATTTTGAGGTCCCCAGCTACCGAAAAAGTGTTTTTTGTTATTTTTTCAAAACGTCCGTCCGTCAGTCTGTGAACACCACTAGCGCCTAATCCTTGGGTGGGATTTTTTTTTTTTTTCAAATTGAAGAAACCCCTGTTCTGGTTCGAATCGTAGCTTTGAGATTTTGAAAAACATTCTTTAAAATTTGGAGTTAATTTATATTAAGCCTCCCGGACTTTTTCAAAACTTTCTCAAAAACGGCTCCATTTTTTTCTTTAAATTTCTTGTTAAACTAGATTAAAATGCACATATTTAGGTGGCGTAGGTTCCATATTTTCTGTTAACTCCAAATTTTTGAAAATTGCAAAAGTTTGGATTTTTTGGCACTTTCCTACAACTACAAAATTGAAGATAGATATTTTCCCCTCAAATAAAATTTGTTTCCCAGACCTAATTCTTTCGTTAAGGCCATGCGATTTTTAAAAACTTTTGGTAGTTTTCGCGCAATATTGTGTGCAATTTTAAAGAATTCCAAAAACAAGATTTTCTCAAAAGAGACGTTGCTCTACAGCTGTCGCCGTTTCTCCGCTCTCAGTCTCCATGCCTCTCTATTTGACCACAGATCATCTTGTATTTCTCTTGCCGTCGTAGCCTCTTACAGTGCCTGCTGCCATGCAAGTCTCGGTCTTCTTCTCTTCTGTCTTTCTGTCGGCACCCATTGCAGGACACGTTTTGGACATATTTCGTCTGTCAATCGCATAACATGACCGTACTAGACGATTTTTTTTCTCTATTTCGTCAAGGATATAATTATTTACATCCATTCTTTCTTATGTCGTGATTCCTGATTCTCTCACGTCTGCTATAACAGAAATTTCAACGCCAGAAGTCCATTTCAAGGGCCAGAAGCTTCCCTCTTGTTCTTTTATCAACCTCCCAAACTTCTGAACAGTGCGTTGTAACACTATTAACTAGAGTGTAGTAAAGACGTCTTTTAGTAGTATTAGTGATGGTTTTGTTCCATAACACAGAGTTGATACTTCGTGTCACGTTTCTCCCCAAGCTTATTCGTCTGTCAATTTCTTCTTGGCTATTTCCCTTATTGTTAAAAAGTACACCCAAATATTTATATTTGTTTACCCCTTCCATTTTCCAGAAGATCTTCTATCTCATTGCTACCAACTGCAGGTATTCAGATTTGTCCATGTTAATATTAAGTCCTACTTTTAAAAAGTATTCATTAAGTTTACGGATCATGAAACTCAAATCGTTCGCATCTTCTGCAATTACTACGTGCTCATCGGCAAAATATATAGATTGCAATTTATCCTCTCCGATCGTCATTCCCATTATTCTGCATTGTTTCTCCCACTGTTGTAAAATTTGATGTAGATAAACAATTTTAAACAATGTTGGTCAAAGACAACCCTGACGAAGACCTTTACTGACTGGGGATAGATCCGAGAGCCTGCTGTAGATCTTAATCTGAGAGGTGTTGTTCTTATATAGATTCTGTAGCTCCGATTAAGTTTTCACTGATTTAAGTCTATTCATATCTTTCAATACTCAACCGGTACATAGTCATACGCCTTCTGAAGATCAATGAAACCCAGATGAACTTCCCTACCTCTCCTTGTTATCTTTTCTATAAGTTGTTTTAATGTAAATGTATTGTTTTTTTCATTCGATTTAATTACTTTCCAGGCTTCTGAGCTCCGTGCTCCACCTATGATTTGTTCTATGTAATCGCATTTATCCAGCAAAAATGTATTCTTTCTTGATAACACTTCTTGTTTTACTGTTCTACTAATTGCTTTGTACTGTAAATTAGTTCGTTTTTCTTGTCACTAATCCATTTTAAATACAGCTCTCTTTTTCTCTTAATATTTTCTGCTAGACTTGTGACCCACCAATACTGTTTCGGTTTTAATTTACAAGTACTTAAAGCCTCCTCTGCGGTTTGGTGACTACATTTTTTTATGTGTTCATGTTCTTTTTCTATTGGCCCCATGTTTAACCAATAGTTCAGTTTCAAGTATTTTTCTGTAAAGATATGCTGTACTTTCATCGAAAAGACTGCTTAATTTGAATTTTGTAGGTTTTATGAAAAATCCATCTTATTATTCTTAATCCAAGCTATTCGATAGATATGAATGGTATGAATTACAATTTAAGCAATTACCAAACAATGATCGCTACATTGGACTCCCCGTTTCACTCTAACATCTTGTATTTTGAGTGAAGCTTTTTGCTTGGTTGCTCAGAGGTCGATTATATATTTGAGTTTTTGTTTGTTTGTTGGTACCAGGTGTACTTATGAATATCCTTATGTTGGAAGAAAGTTTTATTAATTTTCATTTCATACTCCTCACAAATATTAATAAGTCTTTTTCCATTGTCATTGCGAGTTTCCTCACCATGTTGACCCACAATATTGTTGTTCTTGTCTCTTCCAACTCTGCCGTTAAAATCTCCTGCAAATATTATTTCTTGGGACTTCGGAATACCGCCAAGATATAAGTCAAATAATATCATATAAAGTTTCTCGAACAGTTTTCTTTGAAAAGAAGCCTAAAATTCCGTAATTTCAGAAATACTCAAACGCCGTTTTCTCAAAATTGACTCCAAATTGTTCTTCAAAATTTTCCAACGAATAGTGCTAGCTGCACTATTCGTTGCCAATGACTAAAATTACTTAGTTATTAAAATGCCATGAAGTTCATTAGGGGGTATTCCTAGGTTCATTTAAAGAATTATGCAAATATATATTTTTTAAATATCTCTCACGCCGTTAATATGCACATTTCCAACGATTTGAAAACACTATTGCATTTTTGAGTTGCAGGGCTTCAAATGGCTTTTAATGAAGGTTTTCGAAAATTGAAAAATGTTCTGTAAACAAGGCTGTCAATTTATTATTTACAGGAACGTTTAAAGGCCATTTTCTTAAAGATGTTTAACATTTTTTCAATTTAAATTGTCATTTATGACGAGGTTTTACTCTTTTTTTAATATTCTTATAGTAATATTTCCGTTCCACTCTTAGTAAACCGAAAACTGAAGAAAATTTCAAAACTAGTGGTGCTTCAGAATGGCACAGACTTACCCGTATTAGTTTTCCTTTGCCCTAGGCTAGCTATTCTGACTTGCCACATACTCTTGCTAGCTGCCATCTATCGCCGCCGAAAATACTTTTTTTTTACATTTTCTTAATTTTTTGGCGTCCTAATAGTAGAGCGCAAGTATTATTTTAAGAATATTAAAAAACAGTCAATCCTAGTCTTAAATGGCAATTTCCTTTGAAACCTCCTTTCTTTTTGAGAAAATGGTGTTTAAGTGCTACTGTAAATTCGAAATTTGAAGATCTTTTCACATAAAATTTTTGAGGTTTCGAAAAACTTCATTAGAAGCCTTTTGAAGCGCATTAACCCACAAATATAATACAATTTACAAATTCCTGGAAATGAGCATATTAATGGTGTGAAAGATCTTTCAATAAAATGACATTTCTTTAATTTTTGAAAAAACAAAATCATACAGAAAAATTAACTTTAGCACATATTAAATAGTGTAATAAGCACTATTCGTTCGCGAAATTTGAAGAAAAATTTGGATCCATATAACAGAAAATAACGTTTGAGCTTTTCTGAAAACATGGAATTTTGAGCCAGTTTTCACAGAAAACGGTTGAGATTTTGAAAAAACTGTATTTTACATTATTTTTAGCACATGTATTCACAAATATAATAATGTGATCAAATCGCCTGTAATGTAAATATACACAAGTAAAAACAATACTTTTTGTGATTTCTGAAAAAACAAAAGAATAGAGTAACATGATGTTTATATCTCCTCAGAAAGAACCTATCCCTACCAAAAATTTTAAGAAAAAATATGTTTTCGAGAAAATCATGTTTTTGTACTTTTTTAAAATTGCAAATATGGCACGCATTATTGCGCGAAAACTACTTAAACTTTTTAAAAATGTACAGAACCTTAATGAAAGAACTAATTATGGAAAACGAATTTCATTAAAAGGAGAAACCTCTATTCTTAATTTTGTAGTTGTAGAACGACACTGAAAAAAATCATACTTTTAAAATTTTCGAAAATTCTGAGTTAACCCGAAAATCGAACTTATTCCACTTTTATAAGTGTAGGTAACTCTATTCTTACAAGAAATTTAAGAAAAAAATTCTGAGAAAATTTTGAAAATCTCCATAGGGCTTCATGTAAAGAACCCCCAAATTTTAAAGAATGATTTTCAAAATCTCAAAGCTTTGACTCGAGTCAGATGGACAGGGGTTTCTTTCATTTGGAAAAAATCCTACGTATGGTGTAGGCGCTAGTGGTGTTCACAGATGGATAGACCTTTTCAGTAACAGGGGGCTCCAAAATGCGTCTTTCCGTTGAAATCTCGAAATCGATTTTCCACAGCATTTCATAACTTTCCCCATACTACGTGTTTTACTCCCGTATACGTACGTATACGGGAAAGTAAAAATGTACTGTGGGCAGCGATAGCAGGAGTATGTGGCAAGTCCGAATAGCTAGCCAAGACCAAAGAAAATAGAAAACTGATACGGGAAAGTCTGTGTCATTCTATAGCACCAATAGTTAACTATTTTATGAAAATAGCACGTGCCATAGACGCCATTAACAAGGAACGGTATTTACCTTTCGACATTCATGAAAATAAGTTGAATGAATTATTTTACAATTATTTAGATTTAGATGTATTTAGTCAGAAAAAGTAAAAACTGTATGTGACGTATGGGGGAGAAAATTATCTGCGCACGTTTTCTTGAATGCCAAAATCCATTCCCGTCGTTTTAACTATAAATAGTTGAAAGATGTGTAATAGTGTAACATAAATAAAAATAAATTTTAAAAATCGCAAGATATTTCGCATATTAATTAAACTTTACACAAAAGATGGATTTAATAATATAAACAGCCTTTTTCTAGATAAACTGTCGTTTAAACTTTTTGAAAATAATCAAAATCCTATTCACACTAATATATGTAACAATACATATACGTAAAACAATGTATGCTTGCTACAGGCGCCTGGATACCTAGATACGTCTCTGCCTATGCCAGACGCCTAGAGACCTGGCAGATCGGTATGCGGAGGGAACTCATTTCTTCCACCAACACACCCGCATATAGACCGAAAACAAATTCGTTTTCGAGTGCCGCGTTATTTCCCAGAACGAGTGAACACCGTTTCCCCATTCAGAGGCACCATCGCGAAGAACATAGTATGGGAGAGGGGTAGATAAACAATCTTTTTAGGAATTTTCCTATGATAGAAATTTCGTCATGGCTTTTCCCACTTCCAATTGAGATTTTCGCCTTTAAACTAAAAAAAATGTATCCATTTTAAAATTTGCAGCATTCAGCTCCCACACGTTTTGTAAGCACTACAAGCACTCGCGACCCTGAGCAATGACGATTTTTCTACACCATAAACGAATTACCAGACTACTTGGCAGACAGCATGCGTACTCGATGAGAAAGTTTAAGATTTTAAATGTGGCAAGCAGCCCGATCGGCGGCGCTGACTACAATGAATTTTGTGATTTTTCTGTCGGGGTTCTCAGATAGCTTATCTTTAGTCACTCTTGACCCATCGCTCTCTCCCCTCCCCCTTCCTTCCGGAAACAACCATGGTCATCCTCAAATTTTCAGAAATATGAATATTTATTGTGTAATTTGGAGTCAAACCGGAAATTTTAAACAATTATTTTCTCAGAAACGGCTCCAAATTTTTCTTTAAATTATTTCACGTATGTAGCAAAAAACTGTAAAGAAGTGGTGCTGGTTCCTTTTTTGGTGCACTCTCTGTATTTTCGAAAATTGGAAAGGCAAAGCAGATGATTAGGTCTGCGACATCTGGGTTACGGTCCCGATTCTCTGAAAGCCGCGCGATCGTCAGTCTCAAAAAGGCTAACGAAGGCTTATTTTAGTTATAATTTATAATGAAAGTCCCAAAATTAACTCGATTTTTACTTGATTCTACAATTTTTTCTCTATGTATTGATGTTACCTTCAACGAATCCGCTAACCTTAAATGAAATAGCTCAATTATGTTTTCTCGCTGAAAATTATGATTTAAATGTAGTATGAAAGAAAAATTGAGTACGATAATTTTGTATGAATTTTTATTTAATGTTCGATAATTTGGTATTCACTTTTCTGCTATCTGGCCACACTGGTTATGAAGTTTCAATTTAACAATATGCCACACTGGTTATGAAGTTTCAATTTAACAACATGAACGTCGCGATTCGGTGCAAAGTTCACAGAATAATCTCTCATTGTCGGGCGGCGTTTCTAGATGAATATTTCTTGTGACAGGTGGTAACGCCGAGGACATTGCGGACGTAAATAATAGAGTTAAATTTTGTATTTATAGTGTTAGTATAGTTTAGTTAGAATGTTTAGTCTTATTTATGGTAATTATTTGGGTGAAGTTAGCGAATTATAGTAGATTAGATTCCTAGAATAATAAGTTACTTCTTTAATTTACAATTATTTATTAGTTGCAGTTAAAAAAATAGAAGAGAATTAATAAGAAAATATTCGCCATGCGTATATGCCAAACGAATCGTCCATTAATGGTTTAACAATACCGCGATGGCAACGGGTTTTAGACCATCGGATCGCGTTATTAATTTCTAATTTTCTTAAGGCTAAAATACGCATTAAATTGTCGAATTTGTTTTGACATATTAGCTTTAAAATAATTAGTTTTGGCACCTATTGTACTACGAGTTGTAATGAATTTTACAAGTGGTCTGAAATGTGTTATAATGCCGCAATTGATGTCCATATTAACACATTTCCGTTACTATGTGCGAGAAAGTTTGTTGTCGTACATCTAGTTTCTTTTTCTATCTCTTTCTTTAATTGTTTTATTTCAGAAATTCATTTACTCTTTTTTATTTCTAGGCATATGACAAAATAATTAAAACAACAAAGGAGAACCTGGAAGAACTTAACCGGCGTGTGAGAAGAGCAAAAAAGAGCAATTTTCACTTGGACAAAAATATTATTGATCTTAATGTGGATGTCAATGAACTGATGCTGAAACGAGATGCTGAGCAAGATGAAGAGCAAGACAAATGTCGAAGGCAGAGGTACACGACAATTTACTTTTATTTCTATCAACTGGTCTCTGTACAGAAACTTGGAATATCATCCAAGTATATGTGGCCAAAAGCTCCGTCCAAAGTTGTCCGTGTAAGTCCGTTCCAAGCAGGGAATGATTTTGGAAAGAAGAGGTAAAATAAGTGGTTTTGATTGAAAAAGTATGCACATTGAAAAAATGTTACTTGTCGAAAATTACAAATATGAATAATGTGATAGCACGCGCTTTTAAATCCTAGCTTACAAATAATACATGAATGAATTATACATGAAGTTATGAATTTACAAAAGTTATATCAATTTTGAATGATCTTCAACTAATAGCTGATTCGTAGTCTCTGTAAATGAATTTTAACTGCTGATTTCCGTTGCTTGTTTTGTAATTGGAAATGTTTGAACTGTTCGCAGCTTTACTTCACACTTGATGAATATTATGAATAATGAACAGTACCTTTTTTCTCCGGTGGTCTATTTCGTTTAATCACATTACCTTCCTTGTTTGATGTTAGGACGATGATGGCGATATTTGTATAAACATGTGCCCACGTGTTTGGTAAAGTGATGGCTGAGATGTGTTAATATACTGTCCGAAATTGTGGTATTATATTATTATGACACCCTTATTAAGTACGTGTTGTAGCAACACTTTTTTATTATACGAGAAAAAAGTATTATTTTCAATTTACCTCGATGAAATTTTTCGACGTGATAACGGAGTACTATCTCAGTTTCCCCCCTAGAATGTCTGTTATAACATTCTACAACTTTTTTTTTAGAATTTTAAACAATGTGGACGATAGTAGGAAAAATTAAACCAATTTTATCAGTTTAAAAATTTGAAATTCGCTCCAAAATGGTATTGAAAAAAAAATTTGCCAATATTCAATCACGACATATGAACTCGAAATATTACCCGAAATCGAAGTGTTACCCCGATTATGTATCAAACTCAATCGGAATATCCATGGTGGAAAGAGATGGGTGGGACTTCAGCCAGTGACCAAGCACCAGATTGCGTCATAATTAGAGAGAATTTTAAATGCCAAATTAATCGCAGTTACGTCATTGGATCAGAAACAGACAGGCACTTTTTTTAAATTATTGCATATTTTATTTCAATTACACCTTCATCAAAATATATTTTGTTAGTCACTTGAAAATTGCCACTTTATGCCACTTTTAAAATGTTTCTCAACACTTCTTGCTCTCCATGCAATATGGTGGCCAGTCTGAACTCGTTTTTCAACCGAAGTTCCCGTGTTATTGTCATCAGGATTTCCATAATCGGCGGAATTCCCGCCATTTTCAGCAGATTTTGAACTCGTACGGCGGAAAAAAAATTAGTTTCGCGGACAGCGGAATAAACGGCGGGAATTAATAAAGTTAGTAAAGCAGTAAAATTAATAAAGCATCAGATTTCGTTAACCTCTATTAATAAGTTGTCTTGCACAGATGTATATTTTGAAAATTTCTAACTCCATGTTACTAGCAAGAATAAATAATATAATACTTATACAATACATTTTATACTACCTGAAACCAATTATTATTTTGCAAATTTTCACCCAAGTAATGCATTCTATACTATCTAAAAATTGAATTACAGGTTCAATAAAGCCACTATATTTCGCAATCATATTTTTGTTTTAATAGAATAAATTAATACAACATTTAAATATGGAAAAATAATTTATTTTACTTTTAGCGGATTTAGGCGGGAAATTTAAAACCAATTCAGCGGATTTTCGGCGGAAACTGAAACGAACATGGCAGAATCTCTCTAAACACATCTGGCAACACTGATGGTCACGTGGTTCGAGACGTAAACTGGTGTTGCGCATAACGAGCAAAAGTTGGTGCATTGGAGGAGCCGATCCATCTCTTTCAACTATGGAAATATCGAGAGAGAAATTATATTACTGTGAACGTGCGAACGGAAGTCGCACTCTGAGATTCTGCTTCCAAATAGCTGCGATCATTTTTTAAGCCCGCTATACACGGTCATTTTTGCATCATTTTTCTGTACAGAGAGTGGATGGAAAAAGGATGTGCGTTTGTTTCGGTACGGAAACTGGATGAACGTGGTTCCGATGTTATACACGATCATTTCTGCTCTGTATGCAATCGTGATGAAAATACTTCCTCCACACGCCGCAAAAAGCGCTGGAAGTTAAACAGTTGAACATCGCACGTACGTAAACAATTGCAATACGCGGGAAGAATGATGAGATGGTTACGTATTCGCAGTGCAGGTGGTAGATAGTCGTGTGAAGTATTGTGATTTTTGAGTTGGAAGTGGAAAGGAAAGCAGTGACACTCAACCTCACGAAATCACAACCAAAACAGCACAAAACGCTCTAACGTTCGAACAACTCTCCAGGGCACGGAATCGAAGAAAGTTCCATAGAGTAAGACCAGGAGCGCCATAGTCAAACTGGATGCAATTTGTACGGAAAAATGAAGCATGCTTCATTTTTACGTACAAATTGCATCCAGTCTGGTCAGTAACTTGTCTGTACCGACGAAAAATGATCGTGTAAAGCGGGCTTTATGTGGCACATGCTCGTTACCTTTCGAAAAACTTTAAACCGTCAGAAATTTTGAATATATTGTTTTTAAATGAACGTGTGATCCCAGTTACCTATTAAAGAAGACACTAACAATGATTAATAAATCTACAACTGAGTAATTGATTTTTATAATAAACATAAAGGATTATTTAATATACTTAAAACAAAATAATTTAATTTATATTGGAAACAATACATTAATACAAATACAAAAGGTTTTGATAATTTTATTTCGATAATAGAAATACTGTCCACATAAAAGCAAACATTTGTCAGCAAAACCTTGTAAATCTTGCTGGTAAGACAGATTTTTTAATAATTTAAAAATAAATTGTTTATACATTAGCGAAAAAATTCCTAACACATATTGGCGCGACACATATGGTTGACAAAAATTGTCACATTTTTATATATAATGAAATATGAACACATTTCTCGTATTTTTTTGGGAATCTGCTGCATTTTTTGTTCTCTTTCTTATGAGCATTGCTATTATCGATTTGGTTTGGTGGCCCTTTTTACCACCTTATTCAGTTATATACGTTCCCTTAAAAATATTTGGTATCATTATCTCACAATTTCCAAATTACCTTTAGAAATATCATACATGTGAAAAAAATTTGAAAAACAAAAACAACAGTCATTCTCAAATAGAGACAGTTCACATTATGCAATTGAATTTAAAATAAACAACCACTCACCAAGTGTAATATTAATTTTCAGAAGTTTCATTATCATTTGTAGTAATCTACTAAATAATCCTCCTATTAGTAGGCTACACATTATGCTTCTTGTAAATGTTTTTGGACAATGTTTCCACAAAGACAGATCTCCAAATTAATTTCTTCATTTCTAGTTTGATTTTAATAATTGTCAAGAAAGAATAGTTAAGACTTCAAAAATACTTGAAAGCAATTTTGAAAAAATTAATAAATATTTTTTTAAAAATAATAAAAGTCACACATTTTAGATTAACATTTTGAATCACAATTGTGCTAATTTTGATTCTTCATCACACTACACCAAATCTGCATAAGGCTAAATGCCCCGAAAAATACTTGTAAGAAAATTCAATAGATCGCAGCACTATCACAGGGGAATTTACTGATAACGTCTGAATCAATGGTCCGATTTTCGATTTGTAAACGGCAGTTGACGCCTTTTTAAAATAGAATTTACGCTACGATGATCTTTTTCCAAAAATCTAGCAAAAATGCGAATTTGAAATTAGTTCTCAAACTTCCGAGAACAAATGTAAAAATGTGACCTTATAGCACGATGGCGACATGCTTCCTGAATCCAACGCCGTGACAATCATACAAATCGGACGAATAGAAGCGTCGTAAAGTGAAATTTACGAAAACACCTCCCCCCCCCCGTGCTTTGCATCTCAATCTATTTTTCCACGGATATCAAACTAGAGATTCTATACTACTATTACATTTTAAAATTTTTTGATGCATTACTCAAAATATTGATTTTGATTTTTAACTTTTTTTTTAAAAAAAGAACTAATTGTGTAAATATTGGCATTATTCCATCCCCTCACATCTTATTTTAGATATATTTTACTTCTAATGTCTTCTGTTATCACTCCACCTTGGTCTACGATTTTCCGTTGTCAAATACCGTAAAAAATGAGCGGAGTATACGCACGAGTTCTTTTATCCTACAACTCGATTTCTGATCTCAAAACGACGTTTATCTGCTTTAAAGAGTTCATCTGGTGAATCTCTTTTTCCAAGTTAAATAGTCGAAACTAATTTTAAAAATGTTTTCGTACTTTCGGACAAATTTTTAAAAAAATGCATTATCTTGGCTGTCCGGGTGACGTCGCGTCGAAGGCTGTTTTGCCGACGTTTCGACCATTTAGTCGTGTTCTTCCACAGGGCTGGTATGCCCATAAATCTGATGGTATGGACATGGCAAGACCATGAAAAGATGGTCGAAACGTCGGCAATAAACTTCGACGCGGCGTCACCCGGACAGCCAAGATCATGCACATGACTGGCCGAGGAAGCCTACGACTTCAAATTTTAAAAAAGTAGTAAAATAGCGGTCTGGCGAGCTGTATCCTGACTCCAGCGCCGTAACAAGCATCGAAATAAGATAGTATGAATCATGACTTATCCCAGCGTACTTGGTAATTTATTTTGATATAAAATAAATTTGTTATACAAGTTGTATTTGTATAATTTTGAAGGAAATAATTCCTGGTGAGTCATTTCATACAGACTACGTAAATAAATAAAGGGTAATGATGCAATTGGATAACTCCTAGATGTTTGCTTGCATTTGGAGCGTGTTTTCCCTTCCATTTTCTTTGTTTTATAAAACGTGGATTTTCTAGAAAAAGTTATCTGTAGAAATTGCATCATGCAAAACCAGTTAGACGTGACTCTTTCGTGACATATCGGACA